CACAGCACGAATAGCGTCTTCGGTGAGCACCCTACGATGTCTCTCAAGTTGCGCCTTATAAACGTGATATACCGATCCTTGGTTACTCGGATTCTCGACTCACTGCGTGATTATTTTGACTGAATATTGCTAACATTTTCCCGGTATAAGTCTGTGCATTATGAATAGATCAACCAGACTGAGTATAAATCGAGTAACAGCTTTTAAAGCGACCAACATCGAAAAGAGTAGAGTAGAGAGAGTGAGTAGGACAGCAAATTTTACGCTCTTAGATGCTTTTATGAAGTATTTCTGACCCAAAATTACATAGCTTAAGAAATCGGTTTTATGGGGGTCATATGTTATGGTGGTTCCAACGAATGATCAACAACTGAGGAATGACGAACAGAGTGCCAGACGAACATGACTAAATGAACTCAACTCATCATTCTGATCCGATCATACCCACTAACTCTTCTCCTCTTCTTGTACTTATACATATATCTCGAACCAAAGTTCATATACCACACATTTCAACCAATTAAAAGTAACGAAAAGGTAACACGACTTGAATGATTCGTACATAAAATAGCTACATAACGACAACACGCGCTATCTGTTGCTAAGCAAGGAATTTGCGGTTGTGTTTCCCTTCTATTCATTCACTTCGAACTTTGATTGATGTGTTCAGTGAAGAATTTTGCTGAAATTTATGATTTACGACAACGTCAAAGCAAAATGCTGCGTTACATGTGGCACATTCGATAGACGTCATCAATATGCGACTAGACTTTTGAGTTTAATATACATACATACATACGTGTACATGCATCTACACTACGTGGCTCCAAATATAACGAATGCTTATAAATTGAGAAGTTCTTTTCTTTCTCTTACAAGTGAACAACCTTAGGTTATTCGCTAAAATGTCTTGTCCATCGGATCTAGCTAATGTTCTGGATGTATTCGCAAAGCTAATCCTTTGCCTTTGGGCAGTAAGCAATGGGTAATAAATCTGGGGTTGCTCTCTATACGTTAAGAGAATATCAATTGCCTTATCAGTCCAAAAAAGAACGCTGAAATTAATTGTCGTTGGATTTCAAAGATAGCACTTTTTGTGGGACGGCTGCGGGTTCCTCAAAAGATCAAATTGTCTACTACTTCAAAGTTATAACTGTCAACAGTGACATAGACGCGTTTACTATTATGCCTAATCGCTTCTGTTCCTTACACAGTCTGCTGTAAGTCAGGGGTATGAGTTTTTTTAATAAACCAGTCAATGGTCTGGTCAATATTGATTCTGCAAGATCTGAAGTTCATGAGTTTTCTACTCTCACTCAAAACCCAAGAAAATAAGCATAAACTGTGAGGTTCTTCTTCTATTTGTTATTGAAGAGAATACGCTCAAAATCTTATCATCAGCCATGGTTTCGTTTCTGCAAAGATGTTCAGCAAGTAGAACATTGGCTCCCGCCGCTTTGTTGTTCTTCAGGCGAGTAATTGCTATTTAGGCTTTGTTATAGTTGGGTAATGGAATGTCTGTTTCATTCTCTTCTATCGATCGGGCTTATCAGTTTAATTGCCTCATTTTTTCATATATTCTCCGAAGCAGGTAAGCATCTCAAGCTCCTCGTACTCACTTATTTCGCCCACTCCTTTTTGGGACGCATTGCATGCGGTCGTCAATTTTCTTGCTCTCCACTAAGAGAGACAATCTTCTTCATACCAGCCCTTTTTACGATCTTGGCGAAATTATTGAGAGTACAGTATTGCTTGAGCCCAGAGTTAAAAGATTTTAATGGTAAGGGTTTCTTAGACGAATACATATACATAGTATATATGTCCGTGGCAGGAATAAATTAGATTTTGTTAAAGTCTATTGGAAAACCGAATAAATGGTGTTTGATTTCAAGAAAGATATATATATATAAATTCATTGTGCAGCTAGGAAAAAGTGGTTTGTATTATTTTGTAAAGACGAAAAAGGAACCAACCAGCTTATGTGAGTACCGAAACTTTGTGGGTTAGGCAGATCAACTTTTGTTTGAATGAAACCTTGATTCTAATACTTTTCAGCAAACATGGTTTGATCGCTAATTTTTAGAGTGTAAGACTGTAAGACTCGTGAGAATAGTTGCTATGGTTGACAACTATGATTTTTCGGACAACTTGTTTATTTATTCAAATTTACCGTACTTCGAGGTCTTGGAACTTATGTACTCAAGTATGCCAAAAATGGATGATCCTGAAATTCTTCAAGCTCAGTCAACAACAATTTGGGTTATTTCGAAAAAAAGAAAAAATCTCCCCTATATTTTGTCATCTCTTTTCTCGATTTTTATAACTTTTTTCTCATTTTATCTCCAAACCTTCTCATGCTAAACATATCAACTGCGCCAAGAGATTGAACCAAGGTTTCCAAACACATTCGATTCTGTTGAGCTCATCGAAGCTTAAAAATTTATGTGCTTATACCTTACTATTGCAAGTTCTCTTACTAAGCCAAATAGAGAAACATGAGTAAAAGCATCTATCCTTACCAATATATGTCTGCGTATCACTCCAGATATTTGTATTTAGTGCGAAAGAATAGCAATTTAATTGCCTTCAATAGTCCTTTCGTAAAATTTCCACATGAAAAACAAGACGTAAAACAAAATTTTCAGACATGTTGTAAGAACACAACCGCCCGCGGCAATCGTCAGTAGAGCCATAGGAATGAATGGAGCAAATAACTGCACTAGCAGAGTATCACATAGCTGTGGCTTTAATTACGCAACACAGAGTTCAGTATCGTTAGTCGAGCATTGAACGCACAAGGGACAGATAAGGAAAGAGATAGATGGGAGCAAAAAGTCAAACCCCTGAGTGGAAAAAAGAGCAAAAGCCACGAGCTAAAATTTTGCATATACTTACACTTATGTGTGGATGTGTGGGTGTGTGTTCTGACCAGCTCGAAAACATTTAAAAAATTCATTGAAAAATTACATCGCGTATGAAAAAATGCGGAAATGCACAATTTGTTCAATCCATGCAAATGCCACAGCAAGGGAAAATAATTAAATTTTTTTGGAGAATAACTGTTTATATCGTATTTTCCCTCATGGATGGTATGCTTGATGCTGTCCATGTTGCCAATGTGGCCTTCACAGAAGAGATTTTTTATGATTTTTTTTTTTTTTTTTTTTGGCAAAAATATGTTTTTCTCATACACAACGCTACGCATGAAATGGAAATATATAAAATGTGGTCTTGAAGTTGTCGAAATAATCAGGAATACTCTGTACTAGTCATCAGTTGACAATGGACTGACGATTTTTCTTTCCTTTCCCCAGCTTGGTAAAAGGCAAATGTCTGATACGTAATTTTTTCAGGCTGTCGATAATGTCAAATCCATTAAGCACACAAAGACTTGCTGCTGCTACGTACATATATTCTCTCTTACTAAATTATAGGATTCTCAGCGCTTTTTTAATAACAAATAGCTCCTGGCGCCAGTTTGAGAATTACAATTCACAAAGGCTACATGAATCCATTATGCGTTTAATTTCTACCTTTGTCAGTCCTCAAATATTTGTTTCATTATCACGTAGCATTTTTGCCCGTCCGTCCCGTGTGCCAGAATGAGTCCGCCTGTTGAAGGCTCGTAAATTCCTGAAATATTCCAGTTTGGGAAATCAGCAATTACTGCTGAGACGATGAAAGCTTTGCTTAGGACTATGGTATTTTTTACAGCCAATAGATAATATGTCAATCGAAACTATAAAATCTCAAAGCAGCAAGACATTTTCCGCCACCCAATTCAAAGTAAGCACTTCAACTTTTGAAACTTTAATGCATATTTGGTATTTCTTATTGGTCTTTCTCTGCAACTTATATTACTCTTTGCCTTTTCTTTAACAATTCAGTGTTTTTCTTCAATTTAATACTTTTTTTCGTAACAACTGCAACATTTTTTTTCATTCGCATTATAACATATAAATATGTACGTATGTTTTAAACATAATTATATGTGCATAAAAGATTACTTTCAATTTTGTAAGCCGTTGTCAGCCAGAGTTTGACCCTATCGGATGTCAACACTGACGACAACTTTAAGTAGCCTTAAAATTTGCTTCAAAATTGTGTTTGCTCAAGTATGAGAAATTTGTAATAACATATGTACATATGTCATCTTCAATATTTCTTCTATTTTTTTTTTCAACCTACACACGACACACATGCATTTGAAGAAAATATTACAAATAATTTCTCAACTTTGGTGGCAAATAATTTCACTATTTAACCGAGCTTAAAGTGGAAAATATTTTCGTTTTATTGTCACACACTTTGTTTATATAGATAATATTATTATTTTCTTTAAACTTTTTTTTTCTTATTTCATTTTATTTTATTTTATTTTGTTTTATTTTATTTTAATTTATTTGATTTTATTTTATTTTATTTTATTTTATTTTATTTTATTTTATTTTATTTTATTTTATTTTATTTTATTTTACTTTATTTCCTTCCTTTGTATTTAAATTATTTTATTTATATATTTATTTTATTTTATTACAAGTATAAGTATTTTACTCCATAAGTTCAAACGGTACTTTTGATTATTCATTAAATTATAGTAAGTTAAAAGCTTTCGAAAAAATGCTTAAAAGTATCCGTGTACATATATAGATATATCTAATAAACTTTTAATATTCGTGAATACATACATACATATTTATGTATTCAACGACGTACGAAGCATCGTAAGTAGGGAGGCAGCAAAAATACAACGATAATTATATACACTTAATTAAATCAGTGATGGAAATTTTACGACTAATTGTTGTTATTAAAGGCAAAATAACAATTGATTGATAATGATCAGGAAGGTTGCGTATACGCCATGGTGTACGAAAGGCGTAAATATTTACACATACATATTACTGAAATACTTGATAATTTCGTAAACAATTAAATTTTTTTCTTTTTTTCTTTTCTATGCCTCTCTTTTTCACACACACTCTTGTTTCAATTCGCAGGCAGCAGAGTCTGGAAATTTGGATGAGTTTAAACGTTTATATCAAGAAAACAACGAACGTTTGGCAATTACAGATAGTAAGGGACGCACAGCCACACATCAAGCTGCAGCCAGAAATCGTGTGAATATTTTACGTTACATAAACGATCAGCGAGGAAGTACGTCAACACAATTTCCCATTGGTTATTAACTAAAACAAATATTTTAATATTTTCTTTTCAGAATTCAATGAAAAGGATAATGTGGGCAATACACCGCTACATTTGGCCGTTGAGCATAACGCATATGATGCAATTAGTTATTTGCTTTCCATGTAAGTAGTAAATAAGTGGATCTATAATGAGGGGAAACTTCTAAAGTGTTTAAGCCACCTGATTTCTGTGCCTGCTGTAGAGCAGACGAACCTGTTAGTCATAGTATAGTAGTATGAAAGAGACCTTCCTAGACCTTCTCGGCATTGGGTCTCAAAGAGGTTGAACTGGTTTAAACTTCAGATTCTATCAAAAATAAACAACTATCAGTGGGATGGCTGGCAATATGATTTCGCTCAGATACCATAATGAACGGCCAGTATTTTTCTCCGAGACTTACATAAGCCACTAGCTGATATTATCTCGACCGAAGATTCAAAGTTACTATGGATGGCATTACCCACTCTGCATTCTAATAATTAGTTCAAAGACACAACATTGCTACTTGTTGACACCCACCAGGCCATAAATTAAGCAGTTTTGCTTCCCCAAGCACATTAAACAGCAGTACCACAGCGCACGACGGACTACCACGAGGTCTTGAGTGTCATTACTTTCCTTAACCATCTGCTCCTAAATGCCGTCATAAGTACATATTCCACTCTAGCAACTCAGCTTTACATGTGAGACTCGTGTTACTCTCTCCCAATTGAGGTTCGGATACAGTAAATTTTACTTTTGTTTACCCAGAACCGGCGCCTGGCTAACTGAATCCAGCGTTCTGGGAGCGAGAAAGTGAAAGTCGATATCGCCGTAATTATTTCTAACACACAGGCAAAGCTGTGTAATATGTTCAGAAGCCCTATTACTAATTAAATAGAAAGAGCTTCCATCAAATGCCCAAGAGGATTAGCTTACTTTCGTGTCCCGTCCTTCTTCTTCCAACTCCATGGCTATTGAGAGGCCTGCGAATCCAAGTCCGTTTCATGCATCCATTCCTACTATGTTGGAAACTTTCATGATGACTTTAATCATTAGTATAAGTGATGCACACCTGGGACTTTTATAAAAATATATTTTCTTAAATGGAAGGGAACTTCTAGAATAAATATTTTCCCTGCAAAGCTCACTATGGCGGAGTAATAAGTTATTCATAAACTCAAGACGCGCTATCTGGTGAAGATGTTCTAAATTCTATGTATTTCACTTTCATCTACGCTTAAAGCCCCGTCGACACAAGTTTGCTCAACGAGAAGAAGCAAGCGCCAGTACATTTGGCCACGGAACTTAACAATGTGAAGGCGTTGAGAGTCATGGCTAAACATCGTAAGGCCATTAATATACAACAAGGCGGTGAGCATGGACGTACAGCACTACACTTGGCCGCCATCTACGATCATGAGGAGTGCGCTAGAATATTGGTATGTTGAAGGAAGAATAGAAAGCAAAATAAGACATTGTTATATGTGTTGTGTGTATGTTTGTATGTTTGTATATAGATTCAGACACTCGCACTTAATAACAACAAATAACAAATTCACTTCCATTGTACCCTTTTATTTACTTTCACTCTTCACTCATGTATTTTTTATGTTATCACCCTTTCTTCGTTATCCCTATTTTTAATTTCCTCTTTAAATAATTTTTTTTTTTAATATTTTTATTTTACCTAATTGATGTGGTTGTTTTTATTGTTGTGTTGCGTCATTTGAACACCTTTTAATTCGTGTTGCATATGTCTGTCGTATCTTACAGATAACCGAATTCGAAGCATGTCCCCGCACAGCCTGCAACAATGGTTATTATCCCATACACGAAGCGGCTAAGAATGCCAGCTCACGAACGATGGAGGTCTTTTTGCAGGCAAGTAAAATCACAGCCATGCATACATATTATATACATACACTTGCAAATATACATACGTATATTTATGTGTACATATATGTATATGTATATGCATTGGTAAAATAGAATCAAATGCACAACCACATCCAACCAACCAACCAACAATCTGTTCACAGTTTCCTTTCTACATATATGTATGTTTATTAGTTTGTATATATGTAGTTATGTGGTTAGTTTACATTTCTTAGGTATGCACAGTCCACCAGTTTGTACAGCACTCTAAGTAGTTTTCTAATTTCTCTTGATTTCTCTGATTTCATACCTTCAGATGTCTATACATACATATTTATGAGTAAATACTTGTATACGAAAATAAATATAAATATTTATATGTATTTAATTATATGTATTTATTTATGTTTACCTCGCTCACACGAAATTCCTCGCAGACATTTTTTGATTTAAATATTCCTCGAATTTTTATGATAATTCAAACCTTTACACACATACATTTGTTCAAGTAATTTTTATTCACACCCACACTCTTATATGTGTTTTCTGCAAATATTTGATTTTTTTTATTTATTTCTTTTAAATTTGAGAACCGCAAATATTTGGTTGTATCTCTTGAGTCTGCTCACAAACTAAAAGATAAAATGCCTGAAATCTCCTTTCCTGAGAATATTTTTGTTCAAAACTGCACTTGACTTAGGAAAAAGGCAATTTTCGAGAGCACACATATTGACACATATGTACATATGTGACTCTATATGTACATACCACACACAATAGGATTGTACGAAATGACCGCACTTAAAAACAAATAAAACCAAACAAAGTAAATTGAAAAAAACTAATAGAAAAAATCAATTATTATTTAACAATAATTAAAAAACTGTATAACAAATTAAAAAGTATATAAAATTAATGAAATTAAATAACAAAACTAAAAATTAAATTATATTAAATTAATAAATATGACGCATTAAAAAATTAAATTTTAACATATAAAACAAAAGGATTAATTTAAATAAAGTGAGATTAAATTAAATACACGAAAAACATTAAATAAATATGAAATTTAATAAAATAAGATAAACTAAAATCAAATAAATAAAAACAATAAAAATCAAATAGAAAAAATTAAAATAAATATATTAAATAAATTAAAATTTAATAAATCAAAACCAAATAATTTGAAATAATCCAAAAATTTAAAATTTTAAAATTAATGTAAAACAATGTAATTACATTATATTATAATTTAATTAAATAAAATCAAAAAAAAAAGAAAATTTAACAAAATTATAATTAAATAGAACAAACATATATTAAATAGGTTAATATAAAATAGAAAGCATGAAAAGAAAAAAAAATCAGTAAGAATAAAATAAAATAAAATGAATTAAATTAAATTAAATGTAACATAATAAGATAAAATGACACAATCAAAAGAAAATGTAATAAAATAATTTAAACAATAATAGAAGTAAGTTATATTAAATAAGAAATAAAAATTATTAAAATAAAATTAGACAAACCAAGCCAAAAGAAAGTTAATTATATTAGGTGATTTAAAAAAAAACTCAGGTAGAAATTAAAATTAAAGTAAATTAAAATGAAATATTCTGAGTAAAACTAAAATAAATTAGTGAAAAAAATTAAACTAAACTATATTAAATAAAATTAGATAAGGTAAATTATAACAAAATAAATTAAATTAAATTAAAAAAATTAAATAATATAAAAAAGAAAAAACAAACGCAAGAAAAAACGCAATAAAATGAAAAAATTGAGTTGAAAAAATATTAAAATAATTTAAAATAAAAAAAATTGTGTCCATGAAATCAAAATTAAAAAAAAATACATTTTAAGTAAATTAAATTAGATTGTATAAAATAAAATAAAATAAAATAATATAAAATAAAATGAAATAAATTTATACAAACTAAAACCAAGTTAAATAAAATTAAACTAAATAAAGTAAATTAAAATAAAATATTGTAAATAAAATAAAATTAATTTATATAACTTTAAATTAAATTAATATAAATTATTTAAAATAAAATAAAACTAAACTAAAATAGCTGCTAAATTAGCGCACTTAATTGTTGTTGGTTAATTATTTATTGAATATTACAACAACAGATTATATGGCTGATGTTGGCGCAGTGGTAGAACACTCGCCTGTTAAGTTAGGATCCGTTGGTTCGATCAATTTATACAAACAACAAGGCCTCGTAGTTTACTTAAAAAAAATTAAATTAAATTAAATTTTATAAAATTAAATAAAGTAAATTATAATAAAATAAAACGAATTAAATAACATAAAAATATTATAAAAATGTTTATAACATAAAACGAATAAAAAAAACGTAATGAAATGAAGACAATTGAGATAAAAAATAATAAATAAAATAAAATTAAGTAAAAAATGAGGTCAATGAACTCAAAATTAAATTAAATAAATTGAAATTAAATTAAATTAAAATAAAATGAAATAAAACAAAATAAACTAAAATAAATTAAATTAATATAAACTAAAAGCAAGCTAAATAAAATTAAACTAAATAAGTAAATTAAAATAAAATATTCTTAATAAAATAAAATTAATTTATATAACTTTAAATTAAATTAATATAAATTATTTAAAATAAAATAAAACTAAATTAAATCAAATTTTATAAAATTAAATAAAATAAATTATAATAAAATAAAGCGAATTAAATAATATAAAAATATTTTAAAATTTTAAATAACATAAAACGAATAACAGAAAAACAAGTAATTAAATGAAGACAATTGAGTTAAAAAAAAATAATAAATTAAATAAAATTGAGAAAAAAAGAGGTCATTGAAGTCAAAATTAAATTAAATTAATATAGATAGAATAAAATAAAATAAGATACAATAAAATAATATAAAATAAGATGAAATAAAACAAAATGAAATAAAATAAACTAAAACAAAATGAAATGAAACTAAATTAAAATTCTTCGAAATAAAATAAATAAAAAATATAAAATAAATAAGAAAAAACCAAGTTTAATATAATTAAATTAAATAAAGTAAATTAAAATAAAATATTATCAATTAAATTATATAAAACAAAATTAAAGTAAATTGTAATAAAATAAAATAAAGCGAATTAAATAACATAAAAAAATTTAAAAAATTCATATAACACAAAACGAATAACAGAAAAACAAGTAATTAAATAAAGACAATTGAGTGAAAAAAAAAAATAATAATAAATAAAATAAAATTAAGAAAAAAAGAGGTCAGCGAAGTCAAAATTAATATACATAGAATAAAATAAAATAAGATAAAATAAAATAATATAAAATACAATGAAGTAAAACAAAATGAAATAAAATAAACTAAAATAAAATGAAATGAAACTAAATAAAAATTCTTCGAAATAAAAAATATAAAATAAATAAGCAAAAACCAAGTTTAATATAATTAAATTAAATAAAGTAAATTAAAATAAAATATTATCAATTAAATTATATAAAACAAAATAAAATTAAATTATCTAAGTTAATCGAAGTTAAATTAAATTAATTAAAATGAAATTAAATAAATTAATGTAAATCAAATAAAGAAAAGAAAATAATATAAAATTAATAAAAGAAGAGAATAGAACGAAGTAAAAGAAAATAAAACTTAAGCAATTTAGTAAAAACAATTACAAAGGATTAAGTTCAATGGCAAAAAAATGACGTATTACCCTATGAGCTAGCTTTTTCTTCTTGTCTATGTTTAGGCATATTCCCTACACCACATCCTAGGCATCGTCTACTTTCTCTAGTATTACCACTTACATAATACATATTAGGGATTTCATCAAACAAACCGAATACAAATATACATATGTATTTAGTAAATACGATAAAAATGTTTCACCAAATTTTCTTACTGAAATTATACAAGTTGCAACTATTTTCTTTGATATAACTTTTCTTGTTGAAAGCAGAAGGGCGTAGCAAAAGGAATGGTGAAGTTGCTTGTAAACATTAAATTGAGTTAAAGTTTTATTACGTCAAATTGCATTTGCATTTTAGACAATCACAGCTAAGCAAATGTTTGTTTGTTTTTCTCAACATTAAGCAGTTTGCAACAGTCACGGGGTGCATACTAACGCATTCGCTACAGACGGTGTGCACTGGTAGTAGATAAATAACGCGTTCGAGTTGCGCTATTGGTCTAGGTCCGCAAGCAGATGGGCAGCTAACAAATAAAATAAAACAAATTTGACAGTTACCTTATATTTTTTTACACTATGGAATATTTTGTATTATTTAGGAATACTTTTTTTTTAGTGAGTCACTTCTAGTTTGTTCTATGGCTGGTGGATTTAATATTTCTTTTCTTTGCCATTGTGCCAAAAGTTACTTTTCGTGGCCTAAGCACATTGATAGACACTAACACCCAAATAGGCGAATCTCCAATTTCCTTAATCTACCCTAAAATCCTATTTACTAAATATTTACAAATTTGCATATATTTGTATGTATGTACGTTTCGAAAAAATTGAAAAAGGGGATATCAACAAGTGACCTTTCAAACGTTTCCGAAAGTATTTTTGCTAATCAAACCAAAAAAAAATGAAATAAAAAGAATGTAAATATATAATCAGGAAAGAAACTCACAGTGATAGTTTGTGAGGTTATGTATAATCACATATGTACATACACATGTACTTAGTTCTAGGTCAAAAATATATTAGAAGAGGTACGTATTTGATTAAATTTTGTACATTTAACCTTTGGAAGCCTTTACATATACATATATGATTTATCATTTTCATTTTGATACACACGTGGCGTATACGATTTTTGCTAGAAACAATCAATATTCTCTTGAGGTGTTATGAGTTGCATATATATGAGGCTAACCATTTCTTGGTTACAGAAGCACGGGGTTGCACTTTAACATCTATCAAATTTAGGTGTTAAACCAAACATGTTTTGTTTTTGCTAAAAATAAGACACGTTTCGTGCTTAAAGAGGAGATTATGGTACAAAAAATCGTCCAAGCAACTGTCAATGCGGGGCGTTACGAATGTATGATGACCGATTCCTTTTGGCTTGCAATTGTAGAACACGATTTGGACAAACATATCACATGCAACTCCGGACGAGCGAAATTTCTCCTTTCGAAAGCGATTTGATACCGTTGAATCTTGTTTGTGGGGTTATGAGGAAAATCGTGTTTAGGTCGATAAACTTTTTATTCTTAAGCACTTGAAAACCAGCATTCGTCAAGTTATGGCTAAGATGCCGCCTAATATGTGCCAAAAAGTGAACGAAAATAACCTCAAACAGATGGAAGTTTGCAGAACTTTGAATGTAATGTAATGTTTCATATACAATGCCAACGAACAAATTTTATAATGAAGGAGAGTTTCATGGAAAAAAAACTATTCTAAATTCCTGTTATTTTCATTTTTTTCTGAAACCGCAAAATGGATAATCCTGTATATTTTTACAGGCATATTATCTTGTAGTATTGCTTCTTTACATCCAAAGATCAAAGTGAAAAAATTCAGTAGAATTTATATATGTATTTATATACTCGCACATATATTTGCATATAAATTTTGTGTTCAAATTAACTAGCAAAATAATCTTCATACATACAATTATTTAGTTGCGAAATACAAGAAAAAGTACACATAAATATATATGTAAATGTATAAATATATTCCTGAAGACGATTTAAGAAATTCTTAGAACAAAACTAAAGAGCAAATAATAATCATATCTATGTCGTTTTATAAATGTGTGTGTGTGTGGGTGTTGGTAATGTTGGTTGTTGTTGTATTATTTTATTTGGTGTTAATGGTGAAATAAAATCTAATAAAACCCATTTTTTTCGATTATGCGCAGAAAGTTAAAAAAAAATCAGCCAAGACTAGCTGACAGTAGCCAATCTAATGAGAAATTTATAATATTTCTCTCTTCGCAATAACTAAGAAAATAACTAAATTTATAGATTTTCAAAGATTTGTATGGCATTTTTTTAAAGAAACAATAATTATAAGCAAATGAAAACTAATTATTAAAGAAAATAAAAATAACAGTAAAAGAAGTTCATCTCACTTCTCCTCACAATAAAAAAATTCCCTCTTCGCAACTCAACAATAAGCCGAGTGAGAAGAGTTGCACCATATAACGTAATCTTTTCTCTCCTGTTTATCTCTTTCTTATATTACAACCTCTAACCTCAAGAGATGTGAGTATAAATAACTTCAGAAGATGGTCAACAATAGAAATGCTCGAAAATTCTACGTATGAACAAATGAGGCGGGTTTAAGAAGATTTCGTGACTGGCACTCTTGCCTCTTGAAATGAGCAAAGTGATTTGGTTAGCAACGTATACTGAGTATACTGAGTAATGGAGAGAACACTTCTCCAGCCTGCTTAACTGCAATGAAGATGAAATTTAACGGAGATGGGAAGCCCGATTATGTTGAGCTTCCAATAGAGACTACGCACTTAAATAATAGCAGTTTTAGAGATGGCGATGGCTTGCTAACTGAACTATTCAAGCATGGTAGCGAGTATGCTCTGCACAATACATTGAGCGGTAGGCTCCGTGATCTGCACCAATTATCTATAATTACTATTCTCCAAAGATCTGGGTGCGGGGGACGAACGAGAAGTTACAGGCTTGTCAGATGCTATCCAGGAATATCAGAAAGAGAGTCCTAGATATGAAGGAAGCCATCCAGCAACAAGTGAAACAACCGCTGGACAGGACGGTGTACAGACAAGCACTGAACACCCTTCTCGTGAATGGCGTACTCTGAGTAAAAGTACTATATATCACAGATGAAGAGCTCGAGCTACTTCGAGAGACCCTCATGCACCGGCGCAATTTAGGTATGGATATTGTAGCAGGTTAAACTCCTACTTATCCAGACTCGACTCTAACATACCCAACGTATGTCATGCATGTAGAGAGTCTCCGTACGGCACTAACCACCTCTTTACATGCCACCTAAAACCGTCACATCTATCCGAACCCTGCTTCTAGTTGATATCATCTTTCTTTCACATTTTCAGTTGATCTACTTTGTTTGACCCTTTACAGCAATTCGTTTAATCATACGCGGTATGATTTTTATTCTAACCTCGATTCTGTGAAAGGCGTATGTTTTCGATCATATGCTCCTAACTTGTTTCTGCTCTGATTATGGGTGTTTTCCATTGGAGATAATTTGTTCGTGGCTCCGAGAGCATACTTACGAGCGCTGCTCCCGACACGGTGTCAAATTCGAGCTTGACGACTTTAATGCCAGGGTGAGCAAAGACGGTATCTTTGGAACAACTGTTGGAAAATTCAGCCTTCACAACCCTAATGGGATGAGGCAGATCGACTTTGCCGGGGCCCGAAATATGGTTGTCTGTAGTACTAGATTCCAGCATCAAAATATACATCAAGCTATTTTGCTGTCCCCTGATCCAAAAACACAAAAAAAACCAGATCATGTTGTGATAGACGAAAGACATGTCTCCAGTATTCTTGACGTGCGTACACTCTGAGGATCCAACATCAACTCGAAACATTATTTGTTGCAGCGAAGATACGCATGTACCTCTGTGTATCGAAGAACGCCCGTCAATAAACACAAGAAAAGTTCGACGTTGAAAAGCTGCAATCACAACAGACTGCCGTACAATTTTCTTCTCGACTTGTACTCCTGCTCTCTGGGAGCACTCATCAGCAACTCGGTATACGGGACCTGTGGGACTGAATTTCAAGCTCCCTACGTACATCTGCAAACGAAACTATTGGATTTCCTAGAGGACGCAAAAAACGCTGGTACGGTGAGGAGTGCCGTGTCGCAGTGGAGAGAAAACAGACTGTCTCGCAACGACTTAGGTTTCAAGACCGGAGCAGACTCTTGTAGAACACAAAGAGGTGATCTAGGCCCCCATGCCCAGAGAATATTGAAATTATGGAGGGAACACTCCTCCAGCCTGCTGAATGCTAGTGAAAATGGGCAATTCGGAGAAGGTGAACCCGAAACTCCAATCGATGACGTTGGAAAAGACGTTCCATTACCTGACCCTGAAAAAGTTCGAACTGTAATCGCCCGCTTAAAAAACAAAAAAGCGGCTGGAATTGAATGCCCATCGGCAGAACTATTCAAACATGGCAGTGAAGAGCTGACAAGATGCCATCTCCGATGATTGTAATTTAAGAGTGCTCTGCAAAATCCATAAAAAAGGGGACCTCACAGTCTGCGCCAATTGTCGTGGAATTAACCTCTTTAATATCCAATATAAGGAACTTTCGAGCGTATTGTGTAAGAGACCAAATCACAGCGGACTTTATCAGTGTGACTTTAGACCTGGTAAGTCAGCCATTGACCGTTGAATATAGAGTGTACGGCTGCTGCCGTACGCTGATGATATCGACATTATTGAGTTCTACTTTCTCAGGACTGGATAAGGAAGCGAAGCAAATGGGTCTGGTAGTGAACGAGGGCAAGACAAAATATCTCCTGTCATCATAAAAGGATTTGCGTTAGATTTATGGTACCTTGCGCATTGCAATGGCAAATATCGCAGGCGATGGAACGATGAGCTGTACGGGTTATACGGCAGCAGCTACGCTCGCTAGGTCACATGGTCCGGATTGATAAGAATACTCCTGCTTTAAAAGTATTCGATGCAGTACTCGACGGTGAAAGCAGAGGAGGAGGAAAAAATCCACTCTGTTGGAAAGACCTGGTAAAGAAGTACCTGACTGTATTTCCAATTGGCGCCAAACAGCGACAAGAAGAAACGAATGACGCATGCTACCAGGGTTATGTCATCCGAATGAAGGAAAACAATTCAGCTTGAATGTTCTTCGCTGCAGTATTCTCCGGTGAAAACAAAGGCAGAGAAAGAAAGAACTCCACTCAGCTGAAAAAGACCTGGCTACACTTTTATTAGCAGTAACAATGAAAAGAAGAAGCAACTTATTGCGCTCTCGGTTAAAATCACTCAGGTTCCGTCTACACCAACTAAGTAGACGAACAAGTTTATCAGCTGTACACATTTTAGACTAGATTAAACTAAATTTTCAGAGATGAATGTCTCTCCACTTCAACTTTTCAGTGCTGTTGATAATCTTTTCTGCGTAATTTTCTCTCAAAACTTACTCTTCGCTCATTTTTGGTATGATGCTCACAGATTGTAGAAATGAAAGTATATAATCTTCCCTACAAAACTTCATATATGTGTGTTTCCCTCTATGTTAATATTGAAAATAACGGCAAATTGAATCTCTATTATACTTTATAAATGATGAATGTGATCCTTAAATGCTGAATTCTATTAAAATATGATTAATCATGGCATAGATTTGCATCTTAATACACTGACCCTCACTCAACTGTTTGTGCATGTAAATATATATGTATGTATGTAAATATGCTCACAACTTTTTAGCAAATTTTCAATGTTTACCATGTTTTTTTGTATTACATAAACTTATTTAGCATCAACCCAATCAAGCGTCAAATTTGTTCACTTTCATATTAATAATCACAACTCTTTAAAATAAAACAAATGAAGTCAAATGAATTTCACTACATTTTATAATTTTTGTACAACAACAACTTTATATTCTTACACAAGCATACGCATGTATGTATGTATGTATAGAGTAAAACATTAATCATACTTGCTTATCTTTCTCCAACCAACAGTGGGGCGAAGAACGCGGCTGTAAGCGCAAGGAAATGATGTCCCTATTCGATTCGGAGGGTAATGTACCGTTACACTCAGCCGTGCACGGTGGCGATATCAAAGCAGTGGAGTTATGTCTGAAATCTGGCGCTAATATATCCAAGCAGCAACATGATCTCTCGACACCAGTGCATTTGGCTTGTGCACAGGTGAGTTTTAAAGAAGAGAGGAGGATAAGAGAGAGAGGGAGAAAATAAAAGCAAAAGGAATTTCTCACTTTTAATTAATTGTACTAATTTTTAAAACCCCTCCAGCGGTTACTAGGTGTTGAAAATTTCGATTGGAAGTTTTTTGAATAGGAAGTGGGACAAATACCATTAATATATCCCAACATTCCATTGAGCTATTTATATTGCTAAAATATTAAAATTTTGAAAATAAATTGTAGAAAATTTAGAATCTGCAATTAATAATTCCTGCCGGGAGAGACACAAGGGGAAGCTTGAATCCAAGTGATCTGAAATTTGCCTGTTTTTCCGGTTGACTAGACATAATATTTAAAATGTTCATTGATAGTGCGTAGCTCTAACAACTCAGTAATTTTTAATAATCAATGATGACGTCCGGATGTAAGAAAATACTCCAGCTTTGAAAGTATTCAATGCAGTACGAGTTGGTAAAAACAAAGGCAGGGTAAGACCTCCACTACGGTAGGAGAGATACGGTGGAGAAATATCTATTGTAGGTTTCAATTAGTGTCTTCAATTGGCTAAAATAAAAAGAAAGAAATGTTAATTCGGCTATAATCGGAAGTATTGGAAAAATGTCCTCTAGGGCAAATATAGACACGAGGGAAATTGTGTGAATAAAGCAAAAACAAATTTATTCAAAAAAGCAAAATCGGACGAAAATCTTTTCTACCTCTCATATAACCTTGTATTTCAAATATATAAAAATTTGTAAAAAAAAAAAAAAATTAATTGCGTTCACATACATTCAATTAAGCCTCAACAATTAGTGTTTGATAGCTGGCAGCTCTTTTTATTTTTTTTTATCGAGCCAATTTCAACTAAAAATATATTATTTCTCCTTTGTCCATTATCGCGCTGGTGACAGCGCTCATAGACAGCATTTTTGGACACATCGTCACTCTCTGTCTTAAGAAGTATGTTGAAAAAAATTTCGCTCTCTTGCGTATTCACTCTATTCGGATGGACAAGTTCCGAGTACTGGTTCGACCAAAAAATTAAGTTAATTTTTTTAATTGCGGTTGCCTCTCGGCAGCGAATTTCAGCTTCTCCGAGCGTGTTTCAAAAATCAAATTAGAAAAGAAGCACGTTTGAAAACAGCTTAAGCGGTACCAAGGTCTTTGTTTCGCTCATCGCATGCTTCAAGATTGATGCCGCTCTGGTTAGAAAACGCTAACAACTTAAACACAATAGGTCGGTGAGGCTCTAAAAGTCTATATCTTTTTCAGCCTTTTAGCCTTTAATATCGCATCTCGCTTGAGAAATGGACAAGCTTTCAGAGTCTGACGACAGTGTAAGAATTGAGTATGGCACAGCAACCGAGAAATATAACTAAATACAGCTCGCTTTTCTTACATGTCAAGTCAGCTAATTATTTAATGTTTTACAAGGCTAATTTAGTAGCAATTATTGACTTTATTGCTCTACAGTTAACTAATCGGCGGCCAGTGTTTATGTTTGAAAACTAAATATGAGGGCTGTGAAAAATGTTTAATTCACTTGATACAGCCCGCTATTAGTTCCAAGCTAACGGTACACAAAGTACCATATACACGATATAAATATGAATCATCTTTCTTACTTAGATGATGACATAAACTACAAGCCCACAGGTTTTAGACTAGATACATACAACTACCTAGAAAAATTATATTTCATTTCTGTCACCTTCGCTAAAATTACTATTTACTACACAGAATATTTCAAATATATTAGGTTCACATATATATTTACACACATTTCCATATAACCTATTGTCTGAATGTTGGCATTCGAGTCATTTTCTTACCTTCTTAGTGCGAAATTTGTATTAGCTACAACGACATATTGCTAACTCAACAAAAAACATTGTATTTGAAAATGTCTGACGAATTGTTCAATAGATTGTCGGAATGTTTACACATAAAAACTGTCACATTGTTGTTGGCATTGTTGTTATGCATTTTGTGTCAGATATTAATGTCAAAAAATTCTAGCGAATACCTACACTTCTGGAATAGTATGAGGTGGTGGGTGATTAAAGGATTTCGTGAACATATAATTGCTTCTTTACATTTTGTTTATCCCCTTTTTAGCTTAGATACTTCGCAGGCATTTGAGGTAAAATAAACAAAAGTTCAAAAGGATGCTCTGAAAATTACTGTTAAATCATAGCCAATAGCTGGATAATAACTAACTAAGAATATTTATCTGTCTGATAATATTAATTAAATTGCCGTATTGCCTTGAGTGTTTCCCTTGCTGCTATTTAAACAATATAAAATTTTAATTTATGCATATGAAAATATTTGTAAACTCTTTATCACGAAAAATGTCTCGTCACTCGCCTAGAAGCCTCAGGTGTGAAGCATTTTTATTCACTGACATTTTTGGTTACATATTATTTTATTTTATTTTATTTTATTTTATTTTATTATATTTTATTTTATTTTATTTTATTTTATTTTGTTTTATTTTTTTTTTATTTTTTAATTTTTTTTTTTTTTAATTTATTTTTTTTTATTTCATTTCATTTAGTTTATTTTATTTTGTTATATTTTATTTTATTTTTTTCTATTCTATTTTATATTATTTCATTTTATTTTTTATTTTATTTTATATTTTTTTTTAATTTTTTCAATTTTATTTTTTTATTTTAATTTGTTATATTGAATTTAATTTTTTTTTATTTTATTACAGTTTATTATAATTATTTTATTTTATTTTTTTTTTCTTTTTTTAATTATATTTTTTTTTTTAATTTTTTTATATATCTTCATTTTGTTTTATTTTTGTTTAATTTTTTTATATTTTATAATAAATATTTAATTTTGTTTTGTGTTTTATATTACTTTTTTTTACTTAGTTTTATTTTTAGTTAACTTTTTTATTTTTACTTTTTTATTTAATTTTCCATTTAATTGAATTTGTTTATTTGTTTTGCTTTATTAAATCCGCCCTCCCCGTCCCTCCCTTTTTTATATCTTCATTTCTTTTGTTTTTATCCAAATTCCAAATTAATGATCTGTATACATTTTAGAACACAAGGCCTACACGTATTTGAAACAAGTTTAGTAGTTTAAAGCCAATATCTGGATTTTTTAAGTATTATTGTGGCCTAATACTAATACTAAGATCGTTTTGTTTCGCACACAGGGTGCCATCGAAATCGTAAAACTCATGTTTAGCATGCAGCCGTCGGAGAAGCTCACCTGTCTCGGCTGCACAGATGTACAGCTGATGACACCCCTCCATTGCGCCGCCATGTTTAATCATCCAGACATTGTCGAGTTTTTGGTGAGTGAAGGGGCTGATATCAATGCGCTCGATAAGGAGCATCGCTCACCCATCTTGCTGGCAGCTTCGCGCAGCGGTTGGAAAACTGTACATCTGCTAATACGTCTCGGTGCAAGTATTGGTATGAAGGATGCATCAGCGCGGAATGTCTTGCACTTTGTCATCATGAATGGTGGTTGCTTGCCAGAGTTCGCAGAGGAAGTGAACAAGACACAGTCACAATCTCAATTGGTGCAGCTGTTGAACGAGAAAGATGCTTCGGGCTGTTCACCACTACACTATGCCAGTCGTGATGGACATATACGTTCGCTGGAGAATCTTATACGTTTGGGTGCTTGCATTAACCTAAAGAACAATAACAATGAAAGTCCATTACACTTCGCTGCACGTTATGGTCGTTACAATACAGTTAAACAATTGCTTGACTCCGAGAAGGGTTTTTTCATTATCAACGAAAGTAATGGCGAGGGTCTGACACCGTTACATATCGCCTCACAGCAAGGACATACACGTGTTGTACAGTTACTCTTGAATCGAGGCGCACTTTTACAACGCGATCACAATGGTCGCAATCCCCTACATTTGGCTGCAATATCCGGTTATACACAAACCATTGAATTATTGCATTCTGTGCATTCTCATCTACTCGATCAAATCGATAAGGATGGTGTGAGTATATAGCCTTTATATTGAATGTTGCTTTATCTTCTATATGTAAATACATATGTGTGAGCGAAAAAGCTCCGCGAAGCTTTGGACCACAAATGGTTGGGCTGAGAGCCTGTAGACAATCTATCTTATATTTATCTATGTGACTTTCCTTCTACGCAGAATACCGCACTACACTTAGCCACTATGGAAAATAAACCACACGCCATCTCTGTGTTACTCTCAATGGGTTGCAAATTGTTCTACAACAATTTGGATATGAGCGCCATCGATTATGCCATTTATTATAAATTCCCGGAATCCGCATTGGCCATGGTCACACATAACAATCGCGCCAACGAAGTGATGGCTCTACGTTCCGATAAATATCCATGCGTTATATTGGCACTGATCGCATCCATGCCGAAGGTGTTCGAGGCTGTTTTGGATAAGTGCATAACAAAAGCGAATTGCAAACGTGATTCGAAAATGTTTTACGTAAGTAATTTTTCTTATCTCATGTCTCAATTGCTGTAATAATAAACTATTATATATGACGATGGCTTTTTCAATACATCGTAGGAGCTACTGCGCCTGAAAGTATGGCCAAATGGCGCTTAAATGCTTCAACAAAAGTTCATTATCCTTTTGAAGTTTTTATGGCTTTTATGGCATAGTTTTAGGCGCATTAATGCTCACAATAATGACAGCTAATTTTGCGATTAATCAAATATCTTTTACGAATTCTTATTTAACTTAAGAAATTTTAACTTATAAACCGTTATATACCTCGAATCAAATACTTTATACGCTTCATCTCCACTACAGATTAAGTATTCATTTTCCTATCTGCAATGCCCCTTCATCTATGAGAAATTGGATGAGAAAACGGGTGAATCGATAGTTCATGCGAACCTTACACCATTGCCAGCGTTAAATGTAAGCAGTGCATGTGTCATACAAAGTGGCTTTTTATTGAGTCTCCATTGCCTGCTTGTCTGCTTGCCTGCCTGAGTCTTGCTCTCTATGCATGTGCTTGCTCTCGGCTGCAAACAAACATAAATATTTATTGTCATTTATTTATGTATGTTATATGCCCTCATATATTCTCTTTTTATGATTTATTGCTTGCTTTACTCTTTATATTCATTCTATTTATTGTTGTTCTTCTACTTAAGCATTTAATTTAAATTATTTCAAATGCATGCGCTCTGATTTAATTTTGATTTGATTTTCGATTCAGAAAGTAAAAGTAATCGGTTTCAGTTGAACGGTCTAGTGAATGAGTGGTGATAATATAGAAGTTCTCAAAACTTCAACGAAATACTCAGCCTTTTAAAATATGATAATTTATGTGTATATTTCTGCAATATGGACCAAATTTATTGGACTCCTTCTCTAAAATAATGATAATACTTTAAATTGAAATTCTTATTATTTAAATATTAAATATATAAGTGGTGATATATTGATTAATATAACCGGTTTGAGCTGAACACCGCTAACCAATGCTTATCCTACCTTCAGTTATTAGATTGCAGAAAAAAAAATTTGGATTATTATTTTTTCTTAATTTGACGTAGGAACCGATTACGTAATTATAACCGAACTAACAACTGCTCACCAATCGTTTACTCTTTTTGCTGTTTCGTGCCAATTTGAGATAGCAAGAGTAGTCAGATTCTTCTCCAAATGATCCTTCCTACGTAGGGTCTTCTCGTACTCTTCTTCCACCCTTTTTCTAAACTGAAGTATTTTCATCCATTCAGACGACATGATCTAACCCGCTGAACTATGTAGATATCGGAGTATATTCTCGTACAGCTCATCGCTTCATCGTCTGTGGAATCCGCCGTTTACATTGTGCAAAGGACCATTAATTTTTCTATCGAAATCTCCTGAAGCCCACTCTTCGAACTTGGTCTTTATTAAAATTGGAAAGAAGTTTACTTATCAAAGTAGCACCTACTAGTAGGGAATATTCTCTGTTTAGCTATGCAGCAGAATCGCATTGTCTTAAACCTCGCTTTGTATCGAAAGCCCGCGAAGGGTCTTTGCCATTTCTTACGGAGTTTTTGGTATTATTCGACTTCAGTTTATCGGCGAGAAGGTGGTGCATGTGGATCCTAACTTTTAGTGTCTTATAGACCAATGGTAAATATCTGGCTTCCGATGGATCTACTACATTGAGGAGACCTAATTCACGAGAATTAGCTCAGACTGTGGGTAATCTTTTTTTATGGTTTAGGCAATTAGCCGGCACGCTTACGTCAGATATATTCTTCAAAGACTCAGGCGATTTCTTTTTTTTTTTTTTTGATGCCATACTTGAATGGAACGGCCGGTAAGCCTTCCGCGCTTACATATTTTCCAAGCGGGCGCTAGTTGCTTGAACAATGTCACATTCGAGAGACGAGGCATGTGAGGTTCGGGTTCTTGCGCACTTGTAAATAGTTTATTGACTCGAGTTCTTCATAAACTTCATTCATTCATGTCGTCTAGAAACCCGTTCTATCTGTTGAGATGCTGCATGGAGACGAGTGCGTACGCGTTGGTTTTTAGGCTTGGGAGATTGCGCATATCAAAAACACTTGTTTTAGAACCTTCGATAATAAATTGTCTTCAAGGTTTTTTTATGTTGGAAACTGGTGTCACCATATTTCGTGCCTCGTGGAAATCGATTGACTCCAAATCGTAGGAATAATTGGCGGAAAATTTCGTAGAAATTTAAGTAATTTCAAATGATTTTATAATTAAAATAATTTTTTAGCTGCGAAAACTCAAGCTCCTTAAAACAACGTTCACAGATTTAAGTTTCTGAAGTTTTTTTTACAAAAAAAAAAAATTCAAATTTGTTTGCAGATCAAATATTCTTTCCATGCCATACAAAAGTCACCTGATGATATTGCTAAAAAACGTGTGGCGCTTAATGATCCCACCTGGAGACCCGAACCATTACTCACCATTAATGTGAGTGGATTATTGTGTTTGTTGTTATGTCCAATTTTTAAATCTGTTTGTCTTGTTTTTGGCAAAAACAAAAAAAAACAATAAATAAATAATTTATAAATATAATATTTTATGTTTGTAAAATAAAATAATTATAATTCCATCAAACAAGAAAAACAAGTAACTCAGAAATTTAGAAGTATATTAGTATTTGTCCGATTGTACTCGTAAAAGCAACGAAAAACGAAACAGTTTATGATTATATTTTAAATTATTTACAATTTCAACAGTTTTTTATAATTTATGTGTCTGTCTTCTTCGCCTACATAAGTAAAGCTGCCTTCGATTCAGGAAACGAACAAGCAGTTGGTATAAATTAAATAGACTGGCAACACTGATAAATGGTTGTCATAATATGACCTACGAGATGTGTTCAAAAAGTATCGCGACTTTTGAATTTTCGCGGGTTACCTATAATCGAATTTCGATTTTGGCGATTGGCGTTAGGTTGGTACTCATGTCTGTCACTTATGCCGACAAGCCCCAGATCTGGCCCCCTGTGACTTTTTCTTGTTCCCTAAACTAAAGAGGCTCATGAAAGGACGACGTTACGCTACGATTGACGAGATAAGGACGGCATCGAAGGTGGGGCTAAACAAGATAAAAAAAATTATTTTTTGAAGTGCTTCAAAGATTGAAAAAACCGTTAGCACAAGTGTATAATATCCCATGGGGATTACTTTGAAGGGGACAAAATACAATAGATATTCATGTATAAATAAATAATTTTTGAAAAAAAACACTAAATTCGCGATATTTTTTGAACACACCTCGTACATATGTACTCGTATGTAGTCGGAGATCTGAAATTCCCTACCGTATGGTGATCGAAATAAGAAAATGTAAATTTTCTATAATTTTTTTATATTTCGTTTTGACTCGCATTCTGACTTTCCGAAGGGTTTGCCATTACATTTTAAAAATACACTCCGTCAAGTTATCGCTGCAGTAGTCGAAGGCAGTCTTTATGCATAAGGCATATTCTCACAAAAAAAGTTAAATGCACAATCTTCGAGGATACACCGCATTCGCTCAACGAAAGTTTCTTTCAATAAAAATGATTGTTTCGTTGGCTGTAAGACCATCTTGTTGAAACTAAAGTTCGGCCACAAAACTACTCTTCGACTTTTTATTTAAAATTTCATCTTTTTTTTTTTTTTTTTTGAAAGAACGGAAACGGTAATTGTTGAATTGTGCATTCGGCATGTTTCGGGAAAAGTTGTTCGGTAGCAGTTCCGAACTCAATCAGAACGATTTGAGAGGTGGTGTATCGAAGACGGCTTACTCGTGTATCTATTTATATGTTGCCAACAAAAAAAAAAAACATAATACAATAGAAGTTTTCGGCTAGTATAAGAAATGCGTGCTACACAAAGATTTCGTAGAAAAAAATTGCTAGAGAACGATTTTGGAAAATTCAAGCCAAACAACAAAAATTAGCTGACACAGAGTTGCTTTTTTCTTCTTGCAAACTGTGGGAAATAGATAGGGGTCTTCATTTGAGGCCACGCTCCTCTAAAAAAATTGCTGGCAAATACTTTTAGAAATAGTATAGAAGTAATCCAGAGGCTCCACAAGACCAAGAAGTAAGTATAGAAGAGGGGATAGCGAAGCGCGCCAAGCGCCTTCTTAACGAAACCACGTTTTTTCAACTGGATGACACGCTTATTTAGAACCTATTGAACTTAGCAACATGAACTAAACAGCATTTGACTTGTGAAATGTCTCTCTATGGTCGGTACTACAACCAAAAATATTTATATTTATTTATTGTTTAAAAATTAAAATTGAAAAGAGTAAACAAAAGGAAAATGAGGTTTTTTTTTGTGAAAATGTTTTATTATATTTCGGTCATGGCCAATATGATACAGAATAAGAAACCGTTTCGATTTTTGCTTTCAGATGATTCGTTGTACAGTTATCATGTTACTCAAACGAACGAATTAAACAAAAAACCAAACAAAACTTCAATTAATATTTTTATACGTCTATCTACAAAGACTTATAAAAAAAACTTATTTATAATTATAATATTTTTTTGAATTAAATAAAATTTATTTTAAAAAAGAAATACGTTTTTTGAAGGAAACTGACCTTAAATGTGAAAATGACTGATATTATTATCACCGGTTAAATAAATTTAAGTTTTTCGTATGCAAAAATTGTATGAAAGCGATAAATATACACACGCAGTTTATCACTTTATCTGTATACTTGAACACCCCTAATAAAAATAGGTTTGGATATAGGATATTTTTCCCATCTTTTTTCTTGTTGTGCCATTCGTACAGCTTCGCATGCATTTCTTAGACTAACCGAATACTCATAATATTTTTAATTTAATATTTCATTGATTGTTTTCGACTTCACTCTGCACGGAGCCTTTTGCTCACAATGATAAGTTGTGTCTGCACTTTTTGTTCGTCTTACTCTGTACTTTTAATTTTTTTATATCTATTTGCATGTATTTATGTATGTACATGTGTATTTAAAAATATAATTTTACAAAAAAAAAATTTACATTTCACCAGACGATGGTCACACATGGACGTGTCGAGCTGCTCGCCCATCCGTTGAGTCAGAAATATTTACAAATGAAATGGAATTCCTACGGCAAATACTTTCATCTATCCAATTTATTGCTCTATTCGATATTCTTAACGTGCGTCACCATTTACTCTTCGTTAATGATGAACGGTATTGAAATTCGCCCGTTATTGATGAATTCGACGGCTACCTATTTGGAGAATTTGAATGCAACACAGGGTGATGAGAACGACAACAATTTGGTGTGAGTGAGAGGGAAATTAATTTTCCGTTTCTTTATCGTAATTAATAATAATTTTAAAATTATTAAAAAAAAATATTATATATGAGTATATATATATATAAAATGTAAAGAAAAATATTTTTAATTGGCGCTTTGTAACCGCTGAAGCAATTTCCGGCCGAGCTCCTCCTTCAATTTGTGGTTGTTGATGTTTTCCCAACAAATGGAGGGACCAACAGGTTATACTATGCCGCCTCCGAACAACTGGTGGTTTTTTTATGAGGAGATTTTTATTTAATGCCAGAAATACACTCGAAGGCGTTGGCATTCCCTGCCGAGGGACGTCCGTAATTGGAAAATTTAGCTTAATTTTTTATTTAAATTTTATTTTAATTGTTATTTAAATTTGAACCCGAGCCTTGCGAATGGCAGTACGCAATGCTTACCACTCGGCTACCGCGGCCGCGTTGGTTAAAGCAGGAGCTCCAAAGCGCATATCATTGCAGTCCCTTATGTTTGAATTGATAAACTGTTTTAATTTCGTCCATTCATGGCCCCATCGTGAGTCTGTAGCTGAAAGTAATAACGACTCAATTAGAGGAGGGGAGGACACTCGAAGCAGTCATCCTTTGTCCATTTTTACACCACCCAGCTTATGGAGATGATACATCGGTATATATGAACATGGATATCTGCAGAATTACCTCAAATTTCGCCTTACGCACATTCCTACCCTACTCGTATGTACTTCAGATCACTTGTACATTGATTGACCTGATATCGAGGATGATGTTCACGGTCTTTGCTGAAGCGTTTCTTATTGGGTCTGTCATACCCATTAGACAGGTACGTTGTATGTCATCCAGGGACTTAATTCGGCACTACTTCTTTATTATTACTCGCTATATAGGATGTGCATCATATTATATGTTTGCATGGGACTTAGTAGAGTCGTTTAATGTATAAAGCAAAAGGGCAGGTCTCAAAGTATTCTTGTCTTACAGAGACTCCTTGTATCTCAACCCAATCTGATGAGCTTTTACATGCATAATCGTCATGCTCCTGATAGATGACCACCTAGTTACTTATATATACATTTTTGAACGGAGCCGGCTCCTTAATGCGGAGCGGTACCGTGCCACTTCGGAAGATGTATCTAGTTTCATCCAATCTTAACAAATTCTTTCCATATTTTCCAAGAGCCAAGATGTTAGACCGATCCTTGTATCTAATTTCAGCACAGAGTAATCCTCCTTTCCAGAACTCGTACTGAAAAACATCTGTGACTCCTGCCACCCGCTCGGCATGTATGCCAGGCGGATGCAAAGTTATGCACCATGCACCCAGTAGGTGTGATTTCATTGATATCGGCAGCTTTCTACTAGTTAAAACTATTGAAACGCCTTGACATCATTTCGGCCTTGAAATAGAGTAGCTCGCCCTATCTACTTCTCTTGCGCTGGGGATGTACTTAAAGACGACTCCAGGTCACCCACATAATTGTTCCAATAGGTTTCATCTGGAAAATGAGGGCTCTGATGACGACCCCCTCAAACGTTTAAAGGATCATGATTTGAGGACATTCACCTGGAATTTCCGGTCCATCAATTAGGAAGGTGCCGCCTGGCAGGCTGATGTCGTCTTAGGAATAAGGGCAAGGTGGCTAAAGAAGGTATTTTTGGTAAAACTGTCGGAATATTCAGTCTCTGCAACGAAACATCCCCTATTGGAGCGCTTAGTATGGTTGTATGTAGTACTAGATTCCAGCACAAAAAAAAATACATCAAACAACTTTGCTGTCCCCTGATCAAACAACACAAAACCACATCGATCATGTTGTGAGAGACGGAAGCCATGTATCCAGTATTCTTGACTGGCCGACAAGGATAATGTTCGAAAGTTCTATGAAAATACACGACGGTTTGTGTCTTGTAAGACACAAAGAGGCAACCGATACCCAGAGCATATTGACTTTATGGAGGGAACACTCTAAAGAGATCTGTCATCCCGATATTAAGCTAATGCCCCTGCTTTAACAATCTACTAAGATTTCTCTTCTAAGTTGGTGTACTACTGTTACAATCTGAACTATCCAAAACAGTTGCTGCAAAATTTGGACCTTTTACATTTTGTGATTCGCACTCCAGTACTTACTCCAGACCTTCGAAATGACAGTTCTTTGAACTCAGAAAGTAACCCGAATAAAAAAAAATTAATAACTGTTAAACAAGTCTTCGTTTTCCACTTTTATAGTTTCCAAATTCACAACCGCACTTTTATTCTTCTCTTCATTCAGCACTCGAAAAAATTTAAGCAGCAACAACAACAACAATTGGTCTGAACACCTAGGAGGTGAAGATGAATCGTTCGCTACGCGCTATGACGATACATACGAGTGCCTACATCATACTACCAGTCTGGTCTTCAGCGCTATCGCAATTGTGGTTTATATTGGCTGTAGCGCATTGCGGGAGTTTCTACAAATGTACCAACAACGTCTACACTATATATTCGCTATAGATAACTTAATATCTTGGATACTCTATGTGTCCACGTTGTTTATGGTGTGGCCGGTGTTCTGCGCTGAAGGCAACATATCAACTGTACACTATTCCGCTTCGGCGATAGCGGTATTCTTATCATGGTTTCGTCTGTTGTTACTACTGCAACGATTCGATCAGGTGAGTGTGTCATTTGAAATTAGTATTGAAAATGTGAAAAACGTAACTGTCTCTTTCTCTCTCTCCCCCTCTCTCTCACGATTTCACCGGCAGGTCGGTATTTACGTGGTGATGTTCTTGGAAATACTACAAACTCTGATTAAAGTGCTGATCGTATTCTCGATATTGATTATCGCCTTTGGCTTGGCATTCTATATTCTTCTATCCAAGGTAAATGCATTTCTTTTCTAAATTTTTTGTATCTTATTCGAATGGCTTTTATGCTCTTTCACAGATCAACGATGCCCAGCCGAATCATTTGTCTTTCTCGAACATACCGATGTCTTTGCTGCGCACTTTCTCCATGATGTTGGGCGAATTGGACTTTGTGGGCACATATGTCAATACCTTTTATCATGATCAGTTGAAGGTGCCGATCACATCATTTCTGATTTTGTGTAAGTATGGAAGATCAATTCGGAAGAAGAGGAAGAAGAAAAAAGAGTAACTTTTATATGTTCTACAAACTTAGTTGGTTATATTTATTCTTAAGACTCGTTTGAAGAACCATTCGGTATTCAGACATTTGACTGGATGCTCCAGCGTTAGATGTCTAAATTCGAGGAGGTTCCTTAAGAAGTGATATAAGAGGACTATAATCCAATAGTTCCCGCAACAGTGGGTTCTTTACACCTATACCGGAACGACCCGGAATTTTATCTGACCAACGACTGTATTCCCGCAACATTCCCCAAAAAGTTTTGCGATCACAACAACAACATGTTCAAGTCATTAATTACCCAAACGTTTCTTTTCTCAAAAATTCGTCTACCCTGCAATCCCTCTATGCATCTGCGACTAACTACCTAAGCCATAGATAATCTATTCGGAGTTACAGTTCTTGGACTTGGGACTTTTATTGCTCTCAGACTGTAATAGTATACGAAGACAGCTTTCCAGAGTACCCTGTGGGATAGAGGTTCAAGAATTGGCGCGCGGTAAGGCATGCCTGTCGTAAGTGGCGAATAAAATCCTAAAAGTCCCGCAACAGTCAAGTCTTTATAACGTAACAATCCGGATTTTGGGGGAAAATTTTTGCGGCTACAATAAAAATAAATACAGCTTTTTGGTTTCAATGCTTCCTTGCAACTTTGCAGAGGATAAAAATATCGGCCTGTAATATCAGTGGTTCGGCATTTGAACCAACACGAAGTTTTGAATCACCCAAATTCCTCTAAAATTCTTTCAACCGCATAGTCAAAGCTGTTTGTCTAATCTTATCTTATCAAAAGTTGGAACTCCAAGAGTCTATCCTTCTCCACGGAAAGACTTGGAAGAAGTGCGCACCCAGAGGCAGGGATTTTCAGAGAATCTTTAGATGCAAATATCAAAAGAGAACTAAAATGAAAAATAAGTAAAATAAGTAGACTTTGGTGAGCCGTTTGTGAGGAAAGGTTACAGAATCAATGTCAATTTTCTTTTGGAATTTTTTAGAAGAATAGTTGTTGTTTTTATTTTTTTAATCATCTCATCTTCCCACATTTCAGGTGTATTCATGATTCTCATGCCAATTTTACTAATGAATCTACTTATCGGTTTGGCGGTTGGCGATATTGAGTCTGTCAGACGTAATGCTCAACTCAAACGTCTAGCTATGCAGGTATGGAGACAACGAAAATTTACCGTTCCTTACAAAAAACAAAACTCTCAATAAAATACAAATTCCCATAGGTGGTTCTACATACTGAGCTGGAGCGTAAATTACCTCAAAAATGGCTGCCGGAGGCTGATAAAATGGAACTGATCGAATATCCAAATAAAACCAAGTGTAAACTCGGTTTTCTCGATATCATCTTACGTAAATGGTTTTCAAATCCATTCAGTGAGGATTGTAAGTATTTGCATGTAGCATAAATTAATTGTTTAACAAAATATATGTATAAAATATTTAGTTGTGTAGACTTCTGCAGGTTGTAGTAAGTAGAATTACGGAGAAAAAGGAAAGAGTTTTCTGCAAAATATAGGACAAGAACGTTTAAGACAAATACGTATCTAACCTCAAAACTCAGGGGGTGATTTTCTCACGTTCATTGACCACACTTTGTTTTCTTGCAATAAATTTATTTGATTTATTGCATTTTTGAGGTTATGAATTATGAATATAGTTCCAGAGTAATATTATCCCAGGTGTTTACGTACACTTTAGTTGTCACTTTCTCAAATATGAGAACAATTTAGTGTGTCTAGTAAATGCTGCGAGGTCGACTAACCCAGCTGTAGCTAGCTTAGAGACAATCAAATATCTGAATTGCAAGAGACTGATATCTCGAAGTACTTGCGGCTGCACATTTACAGAGATAGTATTCCACAGACTCATTCTCTTTCAGTACCTAATACTATAAAAATGCGTTGATCTTCAGAGTCTAGCACTACCCACATCTGCATAGGCACGAGATATTATGTTGGTGTGACTGTCAGAGTATATGTATATTAGTTGACTGGCAGCCTTTCAGCGAATTTGCAGGTTTTAAAATCATCGGTGAGTGAGTTCGATATTATCGAGATACGAATCATCAATAAGTATGGCTTTGGCACTCTTATTTTTGGCACTCTATATTTTGAATATATATTAGTATTTCCGCTTTCATTGTCTTACTGACGTTCAGCTCTTCTGTGATTTATAGGAGTGACAAAATTTCTGCACATCCTTTATATACTTTTTTTCTTTTTCCAGTTGCGTTCAATTTAAATACAATTGAAATGTACATACATACATGTGTATGTGAAGAAAGACGAGTTTCCGGCAACAGTTAAGTTTACTGGCAAGATTAACTCGAGATATATACATACATATGTACATTTGTATGTACCGACTGTACCTCGTGATATGAAGAGATTTGGTTTTTGTTTGGTTTACCATCAATATCAGCTTCCTACAATGTATGTGGTGTTTTAAAGTGGAATCATTCCGATTATGATGGTGCTTTTCTATCGCTGTTAGAGCAATGTCGTCAGCGTGTTTACTGTATTTAAATACTTATTTACCTCATACATTTTTAAACAGACAGAATTTGTTTAGAAGATCTTAAAACTTTTTTTTTTGCTGAATGGCATTTTAATTTATCGATGTAAACAAAACTCAGCTGCCGTGCAGGTTTTTGATCGTTCACAATGAAACTATCAAGAACAATTTATAACATTCACAATGAGGAAAATAATCTTAAAATTAGCTAATACTAAAGAACGTATATTTTTATACGTTCTTTGATACGACCTTTCTTCATTTCTCTTGTGATTAACTAACTATTTACTTATACTTATATTCCTTAAGCCTCAATGGATGGACTCGGTTTCGAGAGTAATGATGATTTTATCAATGATGAATTGGATCGTCAGCGTCGTAAATTGCGCGACATCACACGCATGTTGGATCAACAGCATCAACTTTTGCGACTTATTGTGCAGGTGCGCGAAAAAGATATAAACTGACTGAAATTAGCACAATTTTTGTTATATATATACATATGTATTTGTACATATTATAATAAAAAAATATATCATTTAATTGTAGAAAATGGAAATAAAAACCGAAGCTGACGACGTGGATGAGGGCGTCTCACCAAATGATCTGAAAGCTATAACGAGCAATGGCACAGGCTCAACGCCTGGCTCACGTTGGACCTCACCACGAATACGTAATCGACTGCGCGCCGCGCTTAGTTTTAATAAAAGTCTATATGAATAGGAAAATGTAGCCTAACAAGCTTATTTAAGTATAGACTTCAAAAACGAGCACCCATTAAATATGTTAAATATATAATAATAGTACTTAATGAGTTCATGTATTGGAAATTTAGCTTTTGTTCCCTAAATTCACATTATACATCATTAATTATAATATTTTCTTTTTTTTTACTGCTTTAAGGTATTTTGTATATTTTGAACTTTTTTCAAACGGGTAAAATTTCTTTACTAAAAAGAATTATAACCTCAAAAATACGTTATATTAGTTAAATCAAAATCTTCGACATTACAGAATTGTTTCTGCTTAGTTTTAAATGTTAAGAATTCTAAAACATAATTTTTTGTCCTTTAATTTAAATTAATACTTACGTATATACATACATATGCAGGGTATGCAACAAAATGCATAAATGGTAAAATCTGAATGAAGGTTGAGAACCAAAATGTATGCCGAATGACGAATTTATTTACAATTTTTCGAAAAACAAAAATATTTAAATTAAAAATAATATTTCGAAAAATTTATGTAGTTATACTTAAAAAAAATATTCAATTCATAACATTGTACATGAACTTGTTGTTTACAAAACAAAAAATGAGATAAATGTGTGTTTATTGGTATTGAAACCCTTTGTGATGTGTATTTGCTGTGCTTTGAGAAAATTATAAATATATGTATAGTACATAAATATACATACATACATATGTCTAAATGCAGGTATTTCTACAAAAAAATTTGCATAAATAAATTAAAGATATATAAATGATTTTTTTTCTTAAGCATATGTGCGTTTAAGCTGTTTTTGTTGTAATTGCAAACATATATAAATTAATACAAGAAATGCTGAACAGAAAATATTATAATTAACATTTTATTATAAATATTGTTTAGTGAAGTCAGTAAAATATTTTTAGTTAATTGTAAAATGTTGCTGTTGAATATAAAAATAAATATACTTCAATCATGGTAGCAAAATTGCTGTTGGTATTTTTTAATTAAAATTAGCAAATTATATTATTACAAAACTTATCACTAACCTTTAAAAATAACAAGCCTGGCTAGCGGGCCAATAGCCATGAGCGTCATCTAACGTTCATTAGCACGACGAAGAAAACTTCCTTCGTGATGCCGTCGAGCAACCAGATGGGTCGACAAAAGTAGCGAGCAATTCGTTTCTCGACCATCACAACATTGCCATTTTAAAGTTTTAGCATCTTGTTTATATATTGGGCTATAAAAATCAAGAAGTGTTCACTTGCAACAATATACTATATTTGTAACTTCAATACTATTTCTTTTAATCAATCTAGTCCACTGTTACCAATGTAAGATAGATGAGTGGTATATACGTATTGTTGCGAAAATGCGAGGCGAATGTCAGATGAAAGAGAGAAGCCGATAACTAGTATATTCTAGAAACGATAAGACAAGAACCTTCCATAGCGAACAATTCGATGCTTCTACGCTTTCGTCTGCGAGCAGCCGACTGCTATATAAAGGCGACACTCAGTTGCAAGAAGTTAGTTACAAAGTGAGCTCGTTGGCGTTAACATCGTTAAAGTCGTAAAGTAAACGCGTTGGGAATTACATTTAAGTAGAGTAAATTGTGAAAGTTGATGCAAGTGATTGTAGCTAGTAAAGTGCCTTGTAGTTGAATTGTGTATTATTGAGGAAATAAAGGACATTAGATAAAATCTTTATTACGAAAGGAACTGCAAATTAAGTTGGCGAGTTTTATTTAACAATGCAGAGATCGTACCCGAAGGATTTAGTAAATCAGTATATAAATAAATTATTCATAATTTCATTTTCTATAATTAAACAAGTGCCTTACTTAATCATATGATGGCGAAAATGCTAAATAACAATGTGGGATGAGTAGGAAGGGCCGAATCTTCCTTATAAAGGGTGATTTCTAGTTATTATCTTTTTGGCAGCACTAGGTTACAGATCTGACGCACGTTTCTTGTTTTGTTACACACGACAACGCTTGCAAATTATTGAATTTTACTAACGGAAAGTGTCTCTGTTGGGAAAGTTCATCGCGCGTTTCGTCCATTTTATGGTCGGTTTAATCGACCTACTGAAGCCTTTCAAAATACAGCTGGTGCAAGAATTGAAGCCGAACGACCTATCGCTACGCAGAATTTTTGGTGAATGGGCTTGTGGAAAGTTGACTTATTTTTATCGCTGAACACAATAGCGACGAGGCTCATTTTTGCCTTAATGAGTGCATAAATAAGCAGAATTGTCGACTTTGAAGTGAAGATCAGCCAGAAGCGTTACAAGAGCTACCAATGCATCCAGAAAAAGTCACAGTTTGGTGCGGTTTATGGGCTGGTGGCATCATTGGACCGTACTTCAAAATGCAAGAGCTTGACTTGCATGACGTGTGGTGTCAGGAAGCTGGTGTCACATGCCACACAGCTCGCGTAACTATTTCACATTCGGGACTGGTCAATTGGCCGCCTAGATCATGGGATTTAACGCATTACTATTTTTTTTGGGGCTATATTGCATCTTATGTCTATACAGACAAGTCCGTTTCAATTGACGCAATGGAGGACAACATTGAAGCATTTATTCGTGATATACCGGCCGAAATGTTGAAAAGAGCATATCCAAATTGGGCTAAGGGGATAGATCATTTGAGGCGCAGTCACGGTCAACATTTTCACGAAATAATCTTCTAACATTGAATTATATGGGCCGTACTATCGATTCTAAGATTTTAAAAAAATGTTTCTGAATGTCATAATTTTTTTTTTAGAAAACTTTCCTATAGCTCTTTAAAAATCACCCTTAAAGCAGAGACCCTATCTATGATTACACAATATGGGATTTTTGTTTTTGTATTCTCACTACTACCGTGTGTGAGTTTGCCTTGAACGCAGAAGAAAATTAAAAAATAGTCTTGTCTGGCAATGATGTTAAATTACTCGTTCGTTTGCCTGTGGCGGCCGACGATAACTTTCGAACTTGTCAATCCGCTATAGTTTGCTCATTCGTTCGTCGTTCGTTGCTCGTGTAGTACTTGTGCGTGAGTGCGGAATTATTCATATATAAAGTTATAACACCGTCGCCATCTTTAATCTTCTTCACTTGAAGAAAAGGTTGTGAAAATTAACAAATAATTTAAAAAAATACTATTGAAAGTTATTTCTTCGCAAGAAGGTAAGCAAAGTAATACTGGTTATATATATAAAATATATTATATTTGATCTGAATTTAGTTTGTGTAGTGGTGTTGGTGCATCTTTTAACCATATGTCTGCTTTTGAAAATATTAATTTATACTAATATTCTTTCAAACTGTTATTTGATAACTTATTGAACAGATTTAATCTCTGGTTACATAACTTATATTTGAGAAATATGAAATAAAAAATCGGCTTTTACAGTGACCTACATGCATGGTTGCCTGAAGTACAGTCTGCCAATTATTGTAGCTATTAAATTTTTCGATATAGTTTCCAACGTTAATATTGTGCTATATATCTACTTCTGTGAATTCTCTACACACATTTTCTTAGAACAAATTTTTCATATGGCATGTAACTTGTGGAAAATAAGTTTAATGGATACAGAAAAGTAGATATTAGGCGCCATCTTGTTTTCACACACATTTTCTTTCCCTTAACCCTTGATTTCGTTCGGTATGTTTTTTTTGTATGTATAAATTTTTTCTTTTTTTACTTGTTTGACAAGCTCTCGCCAATTCTAGCGATTCTCCGATGGAAATGAATCAGCCAAAGCGAGTGTAGAAAAGTTTCTAGAAGGAAAAGTATTTTTGTCGGCTGGCCGGCCGGTTTATTGTACTAACATCGTGTAGACTTTAGGGCATTCAACACAGTTGAGGTTATTCACACTTGTACGCCCGTTTTGAGCCTTATAAATTTGCGTTATTAGCTGGTTTGTTAATATTTTTTTGTGGGCAAATAATATTTTCATTCGTTGCTTTCCATCGAGCGAATTACATGTATTTGTTCTTGTATCCATATTTTCTTATTTTGTTATGCATAGGTTTGCGCCCTGGATTTTTTACAGAAATTGGTGTAGATACACAAAATCTGGTGAATGGTCTACCTTTTTATTTGTTAGAAATATGAAAAGATAATATATAAAATCAAAATCGACTCCACTAACAATTGTATAAATTTTTTATTTGAAATAGTCATTGAAATTTAAAATTATTATATTGAAATTTATAGCAAAATTTTCGCTGTTCTTTTTGTTTTTCAGATACATAACTTTCAAACATTTCCATTTAGATACTCAAAACTAATAAAGTACTTGCTTTTTAGCTTGTTCTAAATTGGTTAAATTTATGTGTGTGCTTTGTTGATTATTATTCAGTCTTTGCAACATTCGGAAATTCTAAGTTAAAAATTTTTTGTAAATTAAAATGTCTCCAAGGTATGCAGAAAATTCATAATACCGATTAAGCGGTGTAGATTTGTCTAAATTTACAAAGCAATAGTACACAATATTTGCCCGCTTTTTTTTTTTTTTAATTACATATTTTTAATATTAATAAAGTTGATTTTTTTGATCATTTCTTACAGCGTTAAACAAGTAAATAATAATAGTACCAAAAAAATGGCTTTCCGTGGCAATCAGAATCGCAACCGCAATTTCGGCGGTAATAATTATGGCAGCGGACCGATGGGTGGTGCCAACCGTATGGGCAACATGAATATGTCTCCATGGGACACTCCAAATGCTGGTGGCAATTTTGGCGGTGGTAATATGCGTCAAGGCGGCGGTGGCCAAGGCATGAATGCTCAGGCCATTAATTTGGCAAATAATTTGCTAAACAACTTGTTCAGAAATCAAAATCCACCATCTCTGCTGGATTTGCCACGCGGCGGTGGTGGCGGTATGGGCAATCGCAATCAACGCGGCGGACCGGTATGTATACCATTTTTATTTGTTCACTTACCTATACTTTTATTATATTTCTGTTAAAAGTTGTTTTTTATATTCATATATCTTACAAACAAAAAAAGAAAGTTGTGTAAAATTTAGAAAATGATCGTCAAATTATGTATATGTATCGTATGTGTGGTGGAAAGTAAGAAAATAATGGCACAATAAAGTGCTCCGTGTTCTCCAGCAAATTGTTTAACTTGAATAGTGTATATTAATGAATATAAATGTCCCAAATTAATGGTATGACTTTATTGAATGAGATGAAATTTCTATTTCTACTGGGTTATGTAAAGGCTGAAATAAATTTCACCTTCACCATACATATGATATAAATACATGCACATGTCAATGAGGATATTTGTTTTTATGCTTAATAAGTTTTTATTTTTAAACTAAATTACAACAATCTTTTCTTTCGAAATATTGTACATATGAATTTCTAGTCAACCAAAACATTTTGTGAAGTTCTTAAATATTTAACTTGTAATATTTTCATCCCATTCACTAAGCAAATTATTTTGTAAATTCATAAGAATTGTAAAAGATTTGTGCATTTTGGAGGCTTTCATATTGAAAAAGGCATTGTTCATTTTAAATGCTAAATTTTTTATGTAATCCAAGAGATTTTGGAGATAATTTTGCTTTGTATATTTATTGCACAATCTTTTAGCATTAACGTTTGAAATGTACCTTATAAATTTCACATATAAAGGTATAAGAAAAGTACACTTAAGCTTTAATATGATTTTTACGTTATAGTGTTGTATTTGTAGTCCAACAAAATGCAACACTCAATACTTAGCTGTTTTAGTTTCTCCAACATTTAACTTTAAGCAACTGTCTTAACAGCGTTTTTCTATTTATGAATATCTTCATAAAAATGTATGTTTTTTATATATAAGACACTTAAAACGAGAAAATAATTTGCTGTACTACTTTATACGCTGAATTCCATAATTCCATGTTTCTAATTACCAATTGTTTACTTTCTTTTATTCTCTTCTACATATGTATATATATATATAAAACAAAAACCCCAAAATTGAACTGATCCTGAACCTCCAATTTGTTCAAATGATCCACATCTGCCTGCGAATCGATTGTGATCGAATATGTTGCATATAAATAAAAAAATGCGGTTATGTGTTTGACGCGTATGCTATTGTTGTTTTGTTAAATATTGTTGTTTTAAATATCGCTTGCGTCTTTAATATGTAAATTGGTTTTCGTATTTCTATTAAATAATCGAAAAAAAAATTCCTTCCCCAAAAATATAAACTAAATCTAACGAAAACCAAAAATTATACATGGACGCAAATGCGAAATAAACACAAACATACAAACACATTCATGCATTTACGCAATTCAAACGCATGCTATGCACAACCGCTGGCCTGTCTACAAAATATTGCAACCGATGTCATTTCAACTTGGTGCGTATCACATAAAACGATATCTTATCAATCGATCGATGACGATCTCTTCTGCCTGCTACACACTACCGTTTGTTAACTGCTACGACAAAAATGTTTACATTACTGGCCTGGCCTGGTGCTATTTCAACGAACTCATTTATTGCAATCCAAAATGGATGGTGATTCGAAAACAAACAAAAAATTGAACAACACAATCTTGAATGATAAAATGTTCTTAAAACCAAACTTAAAAAAAAAATGATGTGAAAAAAAAATTGATTTAAATATCTGTCGTATTGAATGAATTTACTGCTACTGTGTAATTTTTATAATGTTTCTTATATTTCGAATCAATATTGGGTATATATTTTTATTAATTATCTCTGGTAAATCTATATATGAAATGAAAACTTTCAACGACTATATTTCGAAAACTAAAAAAATCTTCAAAAATTGCTAATGAAAATATGTATACACCTACAACACACACATGCGCTCTCGCATAATGCCATTTCGGCTACTCCTATGCAAATTTGCATGTGTGTTATTTGATGATGCCACTTTCCTGCTTCGCCAAACAACCAATCCAATCGTCCACTTCAATGCTTCATTTCATTTCGCTGATTGCCAACCATGCTAACGAAATGACCCATCTTATAATAAAATAATTAAATAAAAAATATGAAATATTTCATTAAAACAAAAAATAAACCAAAAAAAATCAATACTGAAAACAAAAACAAATCTTCAACGATATGATATGTGAAACTGCACTATAATTGTTGCTTCTAAAATCACATTTATATTCAACAACGCTGCTGTTATACGTATTGTGCCTCGAAAATATATAAATATGCATTCAAATATGAATCACTACTGAAAATATGGAAATATTGAATTTGTGTGCTTTAAATGCAATCAATTGTGAATTTTATATTATTTATTCTAAAAATACTTGCAAAAATCTGTGCATTTTTTAAATTTGTATGGATTGAAAAAATCGAAAATGAAACATACATAACTTGCAAATCATGTTTCTGAATTGCATTCGAAAACAAATGAAAATGATATACATTCATTTATGTTTCTAATATAAAATGTGTGTTGCTGTGCGCATATATATTCTCAAAATATTCTTTAAATATAACATAAAAACAAAACCTTAAACTAAATAAACTAAAAAGATGGTCAATCGTGGTGGTGTTCCTGGCAATCGCATGAATAATCGCCGTGCTCAAGGAGGTTTTCAAAACCGTGGCGGTGCTGGTAAATCGGCACAAAAGCAAGGCGCTGGCGGCATTCGCAAGCAGAATGCTTTTGATCGGGCTAAGAAACTTTTGGCCAAAAATGCCAACAATAACAAAAAGAAGGATTCCGCTTCTGGCGATAAGAAAACTGAGAGGTAAGCGTTTTTCACAACAAACAAAAATAAAAAAAAAAAAACAAAATAAAAATTCAACAAGTTTTTACTACAATTTCTAATTTCGAACCAAGACAAAAATAATAAATTTATAAAAATTCCACATCATTTTTAAGACATTAATTAATGTCAAAGAAATATATATATATACATTTTTATATATAAAAGGGGGAATTCCTTTATATAACAATCCAATATAATAATACTACATACATATTACTACTACTATATAAGCCTTGCCACTTTTCTATGCCATTTTTATAAATAAAAATTTTGGGTGGACGTGGGGTGTACTTTCTCGCACCTCCTATATTTACCTACGAAATGTGCATATACGATTTCCTTTGCACATGCTTTGGAGTATTTTCCTTTATCATATATTACATACATATGCATGGGGGATTTTAAAGTGGTTGTTAAAATGATGATAATGATGAAATAATAGGCTGTAGATTAGGTGGGAATGTGAGGCTTCTGGGCGGTAAAAACCATCATAAAATTAATTAACAATTTTGCGCTTTTCTTTTCTTTAAGTTATAAAATATAATTGCTTACAGATAAATATATATATATTTTTATATATATATAATATTTTGTTTTATTGCTCATTATCAAATGAAGTATTTTATTTTAATATTTGTTTTTAATTTTATTTTGTTATAATTTTAGCTGTTTATTTTTATTTATTCAAAAACCTTTCGCGTTTTTTCGCATTTTTCACCTATATAAAACTACGTTATCATCATAATATGTATTGACAGGGATTGTGTATTAAATATGCTTATATCTATAAACACATAGGCGATCTTTAAATTATAAACGATATAAAAATGAATGTGTGAAATTCGTTTACATACGAAAGGAAAAAAAAATAATTTTGTGAAAAACAGAAAGTCGAAAAGCACTTGTCTGACTGACGAATTCTTGTAAATAAAAACATTTTTTTTCTTTTTTATTAAAAATTCTTAAAGGAAATATTTTTCAAACAACTAAAATTTTTGCTCCAAAATTTTATATTGAAAATAAAAATACCATTTGTATATAGTTTTTAATTCAAAGAAAATCGCTTATGTGTATGTGCTTATAATAGTTTATAAAGAAAAAACTTTTCTGTTAAGAATTTTTAAGAAAAATATTAGAAATCGCGCGTTTTATCTTTACCATAGTTTAAAAAAGGCTAAACAGTTTGTTTGGGGGTGTGTTATCAGCTATTTAATGTATTCCTCAATAAACTTCGGCTTAACTACTGTTGTTAACGCAATTTAAGCACTAAAAATTAAAAATAAATGTAAAATAAAAATAGTAATGAAATTATATCGTCTAATTTGTAGACATATTCGACTTGATAGATGTACCAAGTGTAATTTTCGGAGAAAAATCCCACTAAACTAGATTATATCTCCCATTTAAGTCGAGCTGCTAACACTAATTTCCCGATTAACATTAATTTTCATGTACACAGAAATATACATGTGCCTATTGCAATATTTGGCAGCTGCTCTGCATCCAATGCTCTAGAAATCTTTTTCTTGCCAACGAATACGAGTCGCAGCTTTTAAAAAAAATCCCATTTCTTCATTTTAATTAATACATTCACTTAAATGAAACAAAAAAAAAAAAAGAAATAATAACACATCCCCAACATTAGAGATTTAAAAAAATTAATTAACATATAGTGCGTTTTTTCCGCCCCCTCCAAAGACGTTATCAGCATTTTCTTAAATCACTAAATTTAGGTCGAAACCACAAGAAAACAGAACTACTTTAAATTCATGAAACTAATATATTTCCCTTTCTATATATTTCCATTTTCACACCACCAACTACAAAAAAAAAAAAAAAAATTGCATCAATATTAATTGACGCACACAACAACAGCAAGGAGTCACCCTATGCCAGCGTGCCCAACGACATGTTCTATTGTCATTTGTGTAAGAAGCACATGTGGGATGCCAACTCATTTGAGAATCACATTAAGGGACGCACTCATTTGATGATGCGCGAAGGCATCGAGGAGAGCTATCGCCTAAAGGCCAATATGATTCGTGAAGAGGCTAAGATCGCCGAGCAATTGAAATCGATTGAATTGGATCGTTTGAAGCGCATGGGCAAGACCAAGCAGCGTCAATTAGAATACTGTACTATGTGCGATCTGAATTTCCATGGTCATATTTCGGCTCATCGTAAATCGGAAGGCCATTTGAGTTTGAAGAAATTCTTGCATCCAAAATGTATTGAATGCAATAAGGAATTTGCTACACGCATCGATTACGATACTCATTTATTGTCGGCCGATCACTTGCAGAAGGCAGCCGAGAAGAATACTAAAGTGGGTGAACGTAAACGTAACACATTGACGATTCATACCGAGGAGGAAGAATCTAAGGACTTGCGTCCACCACAAAAGAAGAGGAAGAAGCCTGCTGCCAAGAAGGCTGAAGGTGAGACTACTGAAGTTAAGAAAGAGGGTGAAGAGGGCGCTGAAGGTGAAGAAGCCGAAGGTGAAGATGCTGAGAAGAAAGAGGGTGAAGAGGGCGCTGATGAGACTAAAGAGGGTGAAGATTTGAATGAAACTCAAGAAGAGGAAGAAGTCGCTTTACCCGTCGATCCTGAGGATTGCATTATCGACTTTAGTGATGGCGATGAGATTCCAACTGAAGTCGACACACGTCTACCCAAATACAATTGGACACGTCCGGTCGGCGCTGGTCTCATCACCAAATTGGAATGCTACGAATGCTCTCTGTGCGGCAAATTCTTCGATACCGAGAAGACCGTTGAGGTGCATTCACGTACCGTTACACATCATCGCAACTTCTTGAAATTCATCAACGAGAAGTCGAGCGATACAAAGATTGCTCAAAAGCGTGCTGCAGCCGCTTTGGAAGAGAGTGAGCGCAAGAAGCGCAAGTTGGAAGAAGCTGAGGCCGCTGCCACTGAGATTAAAACTGAAAACGGCGAAGCCGCTGAAGGCGGTGAGGGTGAGCTGTACGATCCATCTGAAGCTACTGGCGATGATGAGGATGTTGAGATGAATGAGAACGGCGAAGGCGCCGAAGGTGCTGAAGGTGATGAAGGCGAAGAGGAGGTTCTCGGTGATGAAGAGATGGAGGCACAAGAGCAAGAACAAGAGCAGGAGGTTGAAGAGGAAGCCGAGCCAGAGCCTGAGCCCGAACCAGAGCCAGTTAAGGAACAACCCAAACCCGAACCCGTCAAGACAACACCAGCCGCCAAACCAGCGCCAGCAACACCTGTGGCGACCACACCCACACCCGCTGTTGTTGATAATTCGCCTGCAAAGAAGGCGACACCTGCACGCGCCACACCAAAAGCAACGCCGCGTGGTCGTGGACGTGGACGTTACAATCGCTACTAAGCATGCAAGTAATTTTGAGTTTAGAAGTGACGACATTATTGACATCGTCGGCATCAAGACACCTTTTAAACTTTATCAACAACAACAAACAGATAATGATAGCATAACTTATTACTAGATAAAAGAAAAAAAAAGCATAAATGATTTCCATTATTTAAGTTTAGTTGTACTACTTTCAAAAATTATATTTAAACGTACATAAAACAAAAGACGTTATGTTTTGCAACTTGACAAGATATAATAAAAAATAATAAATTAAAAAACTACAATTCAATATACATATATACACATAATTATTATTATTTTGTTCACATCAATTATCTCTATTTGCAATATCATTTATTAATTGCAATACCATTTATTTATGAGAGACACACATACACTTACGTATTAAGCAATTTGCAATCTTCCAGTAAATGGACTATTTGAACAAAGGAAAGAGCAAACAAACAAAAAAAAAAGAAAAAGAAAAAATTTGAATGAAAAGTGGATAAAAAATTTAGTAATTCAATTAGAAGAAAAAATCGACTTGGAAATAACATTAAAATACATAGGAATGGGGCAGACGTGTCGCAAATGCAAGTGTTTGCTAGGGCGTGAATGAGAATATTTGAACCATGGATGTTTGTCTTGAAGTGCGTGGTGGTTTTGAGTCGCATACCGTAGAGGCAGTACTTAATTCGGTGTACACTGGACTTGCTATATTTATGCATTATATAATGTAAAAGCATATTTTAAGAGGTAAATAAAACAACCTTTAGATGTATAAAACTTAAGTAAATCTGGTGTTTTTCATTTATTTGATTGTAAAAGTTTTCGGCGCTGTCTTTCGAATGGTTGTGAAAATTCTATTGGAGGAATCGGTAAGTCTTATGATCATCTTATGATATTAAGGTAGAAAATTTTCAAAATCCGGCAGTGTTCAGATATGCGTTGTCTGACTATTGAATTAGTAAGCAAATGGTTAACGGAATTTTCGAATTTTTTATTAAGTAAAAATCTTAGCTGTTGCTTTTTTGGTGTTAATGTGTTTTTTTACATGATGTCGCCTAAAACTATGCAACGGATTTGGTAAAAACTTTACACGAATTTTAGGGGGGGGGTAGGGTTTTGAGGGTTAAAAAAAATGAAAAAATGATTTTTATTGCATATTATGAGAGTATAGTAACTGAAGAATGTTGTCTGTAAATAGGAAGTCAATCAGAGCAAAACTCACAAAGATATAGCTTTGGAAGTAGGCGAATCTCGAACGACTACCTGAGCTGTAACCACTCAGCGGGAAGACAGCTCTTTCTCAATCTGTTTTTTGAGTCGGTGCACTCTGTATCTCAGAATCTATTCAACCGATGCTAAAACAAACTACTTTAAAAAAAATCTAGATCTGTCTTCGACCACTATAATATGGAGAAAATGGGTACAGTCGTCCCGCTACTCAAATCTGCGAAAGCAGGCAACAAGGTAAAATCTTATCGGCCGATATTTCTCCTTTCCCTACTTGCGAAGACAATTGAGACCTTGTTGCTGTTCACCATCTGGGATCAGCAACACCTCGGCATGGGTTCCACAAAATGCGCTACCTGAGGGGTTTGGCAGTCCTCGATAGAGTTTCGAGATTAAACTCCGGAAGAATAAACAATGGGTTCTTCAGACTGCTCTCGCTCGTTGCGTCTCTGTTTAATTTCAAACATTTCGAAGCTTCCTTCTCCACCAGAGTTATTGGCGGCAGGCCAGAAAATTGATAAATTATATTCTCGCTGACCCTTACCACTTCTTGACTGCACACCACCTACAGCTACAACCTTGGGCTACCAGCTCGAACTCGATGTGAAAGTCGATGGCGTAAAGATTTCCACAATAAATAACCCAAACCCATTTTCGATAGCCTGGATTCCTACACTCCGCATGCGACTGCATTTGCACAAAAGTAGAGTCGCAACAAAATCCACAAATCATTACCCGCCAGCAAACGGGGTAAGAGATTAGGAAACCTTGATCGTAACATATGAGACAATCGGCCAGCCGATCGTAAAGTACGCTCCGATTTGCACGTCGTAGATTAGCAATACGTAGATGAAGAAGTTACAAACTTAGCGGAACACCATCTTCAGGCTCGTGACAGGTAATCTGATGTCACTGGAGCATTACTTGCGCAGCGAAGCATCTATACCACGAGTTAGGAGTATAATCTTATGCTTACAGATATTTACTTGAGGCTGAACTACCTTTCACGCACTTCAGGAAGGGAATAGTAGACTATACCAACTCTATTAAGCACCATAGACAAGAACCGCTATACAAGACGGTGTACCGACCGGCTTTAATCACCATTCATTCAGAGTACGGCAACACCTCTATAAACTCTCTTCCATTGAATGCCGTTCTCGGAATGCAAACATCACATGCTGTGCCTGAAAAGTTTGAGCTGATTCGTGAGATATTCTAGAGTCTCGGACAGAATTAAGATCCGGCTATAGTTGTCGATTTGATTCCTTCATACTTCAGACTTGTCCATGACATACCCAACGTGCGTCTTGCATGATCCTGGTTGGAGGATGCAAGAACTGGATGCAATATTCGAAATTGGGAATAGTCTTTGAACTGTAACTGTATTTCAAGAGGCAGGATTAAGTCAGAAATTTATATATTGTACATACACGGCAAAGAGCGAGCAAATATAAAATTTTGTGTCAAACTTGAAAAAAAATTAATGAAAAAGTTTATTGTGATGATTGTATGAGTCTTACGTGGTTTACACGTTTTAAAAATGGTCGTGAGAATTTAAATGACGACCCTAGAGCAGGACGTCCAGAAACTAGTAATCGTGCTGAACTGGTGGGAAAAGTCCGTGAAATCATTGGTGTCGATGCAAATTTTACTACGAGAATGTTGGCTGCGGGAATTGAATACGAGTGAAAACACTAATTGGAGAATTTCAACTGAAGATTTGAGGAAAAGAAAGGTCTGTGCGCGATTAGTTCCACATGAATTAAATGACGACGACCAAAAAATCGCTCGAATTTTTAATGAAAAAAGGGATTTCTCTCATCGACCATCCTCCGTATTCGGCCGATCTATCACCATGTGACTATTTTTTATTTCCAAAACTGAAAACCAAGATGAAGGGCGCATTTTATGATGATATCCCCGCCATTCAAGCAGCCGTAACCGAGGTACTGAAGAACATTTCTATAAATGACAATGGTTGATCGTTCCAAATGTTGTGTTGAGTCAAATGGAACCTATTTTGAATAAATAATAACTTTCAAAGATAATATAATGTGTATTTTGTTTTATATCCAAAAAGTTCGGTTATTTTTGGGACACACCGTGTATGTACGTATCAACTAATCAAGGATTAAATCAGTCTTTTCCTTTTAAATTCTGTTTATTATTTCAATTTGTTTTATTTGCTTATGAACTATTACATAAGTGATAAGTACATAACTGAATATCGTATACATATATTTATGTATGTATGTATGTATAAATTTTGTAAACTTATTCACATTATTTGACTCCTTATATACAACTTATATACTTGTATATCTTACATCGTAAAATAACAGTAATATCTTATGTTATTTATTAATTTCGTATTTGAAAATATTTCTTATATTTTGTTAAGTACATATGTACATATGTATGTCTATGTATTGTATAAAATAAAATACTTTTCCATTGAATTTCATGTCTTTAAAAATTAGATAAAATATTGAGTAAGGTAATTTTTTTTTGGTTTTGTCCATTATGTGCACCACTACAAAGAAACATTCACACCAATTCGCCCATTCGGCGGCCATAACAATCATTTGTACCTTTAAATAATAAGCCAAACTAAATATTTGGGCTTCTATTTTCTAAATATTTATCAAAAAATCGTATAAAAATATATATGTATGTATATGCAAATGCTTACACCACCTACACATACAAATCACGTATATGCTGCGCCGACGTACGAACGCCACGCAACGAATTTCAGTTGAGTCCACACTCGGACGTCGTCTGATCGACGGTGGTGCGCAGCCGACTCTGAACACTCTGCGTACGTCGCAGTTCGCAGCGACAGCGCTTAATGCAGCCCAAAATGTAGGAATGCTTTGTGCGACTGAGCACGTAAATGTACGGATCTGAGGTGAAATGCAACGCCATCAGCACATCGGCCAAGATGAAGAATGGATGTGCCTTGGGCACACGATTCGGTAAAATGGCCAGTGGTATAGCAATCTATGTTGTGAAAGCAGTGGAAAGCATAAAAATATTATTTAGAAAAGAAGAGAAAAAAAACTAAGAAATATTATTTCTTCCTACCAGTTGCGGCATCCAACAGATGACGAAGGAGATGCTAAGGAAGGCCATTAATTTGGCAAATTTAATTTCATCCGGTGATGCGTCTGCTGTCATTGTGACACTATTACTGTGATGATACAATGCTGAGCCGCTGTTTGGATCACCCTCGATGCGGCTGGTGCTGCCCTTCTCGCGATTCACAAGATCATAGTGCATGTGCCGCTTGGTGGTGCGCGTCCGCCCGATGAAACAGAGTACGCGTGTCACGAATAAATTGCAACCAACAATTACGACACACAAAAGAATGCCTGGAATGGAGGAGAAAAAAATAAATAAATACAATCAAAGCAAGATTTCGGTGGGGTACTATGAAGTATTAAACGCTTATCACAGTTTCTAATGATAGATTTGATGCTAATCAAGTCTGAGAGATTTATTTGACTCATATTCTAACCACGAACACGCTGGTAGCTGGAGGATTTGCGGACTGACGAAAATCTCGCTAGAGTTCGTCCTTTCTGGGTATCGAGCTGCTTCGTTGGTAGGTATAAACGGAAGGCTATGTAACCAGTGAAGAGCATATGCCATCCGGTATAACTAACCCGCGAACTGCAGGGCAGCACTAAGGCAATGTGGCGTGTGCGCTGTACAATGTCTCCATTGGTTGTCAATCACCGCTACAGATGGGTGGGTGTTCGTAAGTCGTTGTTGTTGATGTTGTTGTAGCGGCTTCGGTGACCCCGCTTAAGGACAGGTTAATCAATATACTCGTAAGCCACCGAGGTATTAAACGAGGGGTCCAAGAAACGTGCCGTTTCGACGAATTCGGACCAGAGGTACTGACGGGTTATATGGTTAGATGTGTCGGCTTAAGCGGACATGTGAAGTGGTGGTTAGTGTCGTGCGAAGAGTCTCCATATGCAGGACATACGTTGGGTATGTTGGGGTCGAGTCTGGCGCCGACGTAAGAGTTAAATCAGCTACAATATACAGACCTAAGTTATGCGGCGGCTCAAGCTCGTTGTCTGCAATATGTGTTGCTTTTTCTCCAAGGACCCATTCTCTCTCCATTCACGGGAAGGGGGTCTTTGAAGATGTTGTCGGTAAGCCGTCTTGTTCAGCCATTCTTGTAAGTGGCTCTGAATGCAGTCCTTAAAGTCGAGTACTACCTTTCTAATATGTGTAATGATGGCTGGGCAACTAGTAAGCGCCCCTGCGGTGGCTTCCCAGCAGAAATTGCTTGAACCCAATAGCTTTTGGTTGCTAGTTGTCGGAATTTTTATTCCCTCGACTTTCCTAACGAGTTCGGGCCGGTACTCTTTCGTCCCGCTGGTGAAGAGGGTAACCTAAGACTTCAGTGGTTGTAATTGTAATTGTCTTGCAGAGGCAGTTAGTTCGCGAAAACTTCAACGTTGCAGCAATTGGGCTGTCTCGCCAACAAACAATGACCCTCAGACCACTATCGCGAAATCAATGATTTTTTTTAAACCAAAATTGCATAGAAAGAAATCATGAGAAATCTATTTCTGACCTGACCTGCCGCTGTATGATGGGTCCACGTGAAAAGACTACAGCTCCTTATAGCAGAAGCTGGAGCAGCTGAAAAGCTTATGAGGCGAAGAAAGCGATCACAAACGATCTTTGATTTCAATGCTCTGTTTTGGACAACGTTAGGTTTCAAAATTTCAGGGCAACAGAATCTGAAACCTGGTTTTAAATTGGAAACAGAAAAACATCAATAAGGGTCAGGTCTGGACTGTGGGGTAGCTTAGAAAATGATATCAAGTCACGCTCATAATACTGTTAGTGGGTCTACACGGGAAAATAATAGGTTATCACTCCAATGATTTTTACCTCAATTATGAAGAAGAGGAGAAGACCATTGAGCAGTAACTCTACCACTGTCCAGCTTCGACTATTTCGCAGAGATAGCCTCAGCGAATATTAGAAATCTTTATAAGACACACGAAATGGTTCAATCGTTGGAGAAGGTGAAGGCAGAAGCCTCAGCGGTATCATAGTGGGCCTATTGGCTTAAGTGTGCTGATGGTGACCTGTAGCCGATCAACTCAACTCAAATCTCACGCGGTTATTGTAAACCTGATTTCACGAACGATGCTTTCTTGATTGCCTTTATTATAAAGTAAACTCTGATGTTTTGAATTCCTATCTCAGCACGACAATAGCTCGCCAGTCGTCTCTTCTTTTTATAATTCGGTGTCAGTTGGTGAAATCAAATGAATCCCGACCTTTCTCCGCGGAATCTTTTGATTTACATTTACCAGAGGGTACTGCATCGAAAACATTTCATCCAACTGGACGACATGACCTAAACAGCATAGCCACTGTCTCTCAATTCGCTGAACTATCTGAATATTGACATACAACTTATCGCTGCTTCATCGGCTACAATAATCACCGTCGTTGATATGCAAAGGTCCAAAAGTTTTCCGCAAAGTCTTTCTCCTGGAAAGTTTTTCTCTCGCACGAATGACGTCATCATTCACGCTTCTGAAATAATACAGCAGAACTTTTTTGACTAGGTTGGTAGCGAAACGACTTTAATTTTCAATTGCCATTTATTTTTCTTCTTGATTGGCGTAGCCAGCTCTTTCGCGATTGTAGCCAAATCAATAAAGCGCATCCTTCGTTTTTTTCCCACCTGATCTTTCTAATGCAGCGGAAGTCTACGTATGCCTTCACGTCGACCTATAGAATACTTTCAGAGCTGACATGACGACATGACTCAGTCTCTTTATGTGCTGAACTACGTCACTTTCGTCCGGTTAACTTGCATAGCATATCCATCATATGTGGTATTTCCCCTTGCCAATGCCCAACGGACCATAAATCATTCGCAAAATTTCTCTCTCGAAGACTTCGATTCATCGGATGTCCACATCTCTCACGCTTCTGCACCACATCAAAGGACGAGAATGATGAGTTACATACTAGCGGTTTGCTCTTTGTTCGTCGTCAGAGGACTTTACTTTCCGATTGCCTACTCAGTATAAAGTAGCACCTGTTCGCTAGAGTGTTACGGCCTTGAATTCCGAGGCTGAGTTTATTATTTGATTTAAATGCTGCTTCCGAGTTAGATGAAATCATTTATGGCTTCAAAGTTTTGACAGCCAACAATGACGTGGAAGCTCAGTTGCTTGTTTCGTGGGTCGCAACTAAAAGAACTTTTATTTTACCTTAAAGGTCGATTCATTTCTCAAATAAATTTAAAGACATTCACACAGAAAAGAACGACAACGGCAGGCGGTGATGATTTATGAGGACAACCAGACATGTATAAAAAATAATAATAACAAATTCAGTCAATAAATCACAGCATTGCAACTTACCAAAAAGCATAAACAACACCGAATATGCTTTATTCCAGAAACCTTCAGCATCACGATATCGCAAACATTTCGGATTTTCTGGGTCACTCTCATCGATGTAGGCGCCAAAGCCGGTGAATGGTAAAAAGGTGATAACGACCGCAATAAGCACCAGTGAATTGATGGTTTTACGTACGAGTTCGTATGTGATGTGCTGCACATGTGTGGCGTGGGTGGTGGATGAGAAACAAAAGAGTGGGGGTTATACATATGTATAATACACACAATAAAAGTGGGCAATAAAAAGTATTAGATTAAACGTTTTTATTATACTCGTAGGTCTATAAACATACACGCGGAAAATTGAACTGTATACATTTGGACTAGTTTGAAATGATACATTCCATGTGCGTTCACATCACATCAATTCAAAATTATGGCTAGTCACACGTAAGTACTAACCTTATGATAGATGAATGGTCTTGCCAATGCCATAAACCGTTCGATGGCCATGACCGCCGCAATGCAACCGGAACTGAGCCCGAAGAAGCGACACAACACCTTCAATGTACAATCCCAACGCACGTAGGCCTTGAACTTATCCTCGGGTATGTAAATTTTCAGCAGCATCGTTGATAACATACCCAGCAGGCCGATAAGGTTATTTGAAGCCAAGCAACTGTAAACAAAAGTGAGAAGAAATATTGAATATAAGAGATATTTTTTTTTAAATATTTATAGATAGCATACGTAAATATCTAGGGTTCATGTGGCTAGAATAATTTGCTATAAACATTGATAACAGGTGGTCAAACGTGGTTAGTCATAAACCTCGACTTAGATATATAATCGCCGCTTAACCGTCCAGCATCAACAAATGTCAGCCATGAAATCCAACGCAGGATCACTCTTGCCAACTGGTGCCAAGTTGGACTGAGTGGCCAATTGAAAAAGAAAGTCCTCTCCCGGCGAACGAAAACCAAACTCTACAAGTCGCTCCCCATACCTGATCTATCGGCTAAAATCGTTTAAGCGGGGTCAACGCTCGCAAAGAAGAAGAAGATATGCTATAAAACCAACAAGCTTAGTGCACAGTTCAACATATGTTTTAATGCTGACTATCAGCGCTAACGAAGCAATATTCACTACTAAGATTTTGTGCGCAACTGTGGGCACAAGCATTTGCACAAATATTTATGTGTAAAAAGTGATAAAACAGCATACTGTTTGACTTATATGTGGAAGCTTTGTATCTAAGGCCGGACTAATCTGTTTCCTTTTTTTTGCCTTACAATGCGCCATTTGATGTGCCTTAAATGCTTTATGTGTAGTTATACATATACGTGTATGCATACACGTGCCTTTAATTTTTGTGTTTCGCTTCTATTGACCAACGAGGCATTAACTGGCTTTATCTGCTGCCAACTGTTGTACCGTTATCGATTGTAGAAAAAAAGGAAAGGCGTCTATTATGGTCCATTTGGCTATCATGTTGTCGAGATGAAATCATGCAGACAATAATGGACAACATCGAATTTCAATCTAGAGCCATAAATATTCATAAAAGAATACAAAAAAAAAAGTAGCATTTTGTGGTTTGTAAGGATACTCAATGGGATTTTTTTTATATTTTTATTTATTAGCCCAAGCAGTGGGCATACATATACATATAATATATTAGATTTAAGTCTGTACAAGCAGTATATGTATATATGTTTGTATGTAGGTATGTATGTACGTATTTACAAAAAATTCAATATATTTTTGAGCACCAATGACTGTCATTTATTAAGCAGGTGAGAACTGCGGAACATACATAATTGGGGAAATAATAAAATTACCTAAATGGAATAAGCAATAAAATCAAAGAAAATTAATACCAGCAGGAATTTCGATAGCCAACAAAGAATTCAAATAAAGATTTAATTTTTTTATATCAAAATGCTTAATAAATTAAAATTTTTGCTTAAGGACTTGATTGCTTAACAATATAAATGAATATAAGTTACAGTTAACTGAGGCGGAAATGAAGTGAAAGAGGTGAAATGAAGAATAAACAAGAAAGATGAGTTGTCTTTATGGTATTTAATTTTTCAGTTAAATATTGAAGTTAATGTCATTATAATAAAATAATAATAATAATAATAATAATAATAATAATAATAATAATAATAATAATAATAATAATAATAATAATAATAATAATAATAATAATAATATTAATAATAATAAAAAAATTAATAATAATAAGATTAATAATAATAAAAATAATAATAATAATTATAATAATAATAATTATTATAATAATAATAATAATAGTAATAATAATAATAATAATAATAATAATAATAATAATAATTTTAATAATAAAAATAATAATATGCCACTTGCAGGTCACTAAAAAACTCTCCTCTTCGCATTACTTCAGGGTGGCGTTCCATTTTTCTCATAAACCTACTGTTTATTTTGAGCCGCCTCCGTACGCCCTAAGGATTTTTATGAGGAGCTTTTCTGTATATGCCCGAAATATGGTCGCAGGAGTTGACATTCTCGATTAGAAAAATCAAATAAAATTTTTTGATAATGGTCCGATCATCAAAGATTGGTAATCAGAATGCCTAAGATGCATAAGAATCTCCCAATCAATCTCTATAAGCTTCTGGCGCATCACTATTGATGTGTGTAATCTGGCGTTGTCCTGCTGAAACAACACTCTCTTCCTGTTGGTCAAAGCTGGGTGTTTCTGGGTTTCAGATGATTTAATTGCTGACTGTACAATTCCAAGTAAATAGTTTGACAGTAGGGGAGTAGCTCATAGTTTATATTTATTTGCCAATCCCATCGAACACTCAAAAAGACCTTCATAGCCGGTAAAATTGTCTTGGATACCGTTTGTGCCGGCTCAATGTTCTTCGACCCTTACCGTTTTCATTTGACGTGGCTGAAACTGACCCACTTTCGATTACAAGTCACTATCCGCTTCAGAAAGGGTTACATTTTTTGCTACCATGCAGCAGCGATTTGAAGATGGAAATACGATCCATTAGGTTTTTTTCTCTTTAACTCATGTGGCACACCCGTACATTGAACTTCTTTTTGTATTCAGCCTTTTTCAAGTGATTCAGCTCCTGGGCAATCGAAACAGTCTCCGCATGACTATGAGACTCGACGATTTCCATTATTTTATTGACATTTGACGGATTGTCGGAATCCGTCTTCCAGACCATGGATTGTCTTTTACATCAAAATTACCGGTACGAAATCGACGAAACCGAAATTGGGATTGAGCCTCAAATACTATTCCCATTATCAGCTGCGTGACTGGTGTTTTCGCCTTTATCGAGGAAAAACTGTGTGGCGTAATTTCTCCTCGCTGGTGTACATCTTTGGCATAAGCTGAGTACTGAGCTTTTTTGTACAAGATATGGAATTTCTAAAGCCATCTAGTCTAATCCTAATTAGAGCCATCTATTGCAAAAATTATCTTCTTCTTATTAATGCAGCCACCTCTTTCTACTTTATTTAAGGTAGTCAAATATTTCATTTTCTCTCACTCTCTCTCTGTCTGTACAATATTTTTCTCTATCGATTAATCAGCTGTTGGACGCACGTTGTTTGAAATCGAATAGGTTCACGCAATTCTTTTAGCTCACAAAAAAAAAAAAAAAAACACAAAGTGAAAAAAGTCGATTCAACAAGTTATAGATAAAGAAGTCAATAGGTCTAAGAGCTCAATAAATTGAGCCAAAAATAAACTGCTACACATAAATATCACATTTGCCAAACGTTTAATTAACTTTTAAGTACACACAATTGATAGCCTCAGCTTGTGCCACAAGCTTTTATGGTAGGGGCTACAAGTTGTACTTTCCCATTTTATGGCATGACTTTATGTCTACCAAGATATGTTTATATAGGGTGGGTGTTGATTTACAGTTGATAGGATTTACAGTGTTGTGCAAAACTATTCGCATGCGTGATGGTAATGAAAAATTGAATATTCTTTTTATAACATATTATCGAAACTACAATCTACAATACTACAATTCATGTATACTACGTGTGTTCATCTAATCCATCCGGACCACATGAACTAGCCAGTGCAGCCACTGTTTTTTGATTTACAGAAGTATGCGAATGTCATCGTATATTTCATAGTTCCATCGGCTTCCATAGTATCCGTATCCAGCAGCTACTCTTATAGAAGTTTGTACCTTCTCCTTTCAACTCTACAGCTTGTATAATATTATTTTCTCCACCAATGCATTAGAGATGTCATACGATAAAGAGCCACCAAGTCTGAAATCTCGTTTGGTATTGATTGGCTTGGAGATTTTCCTCGGATCCGGACGGAGTTTTTGTTGTTGACTGGAGCAAATGCAGCTTCTTTTCGTGCTGTTGAAGGCACTTTTAAAACCGACGTGGAGATGATATGTGTTGATTCTCTTTTCTTGGGTATTTTCAAAGCCACACTGGTATAGTCAAATCAGATTATTGACGGTGGTGTTTAGTCTTCCACACAATATGTTCGGTAGGACCTTATATGCGATATTAAAGAAGATCATTTCAACGGTAATTGGCACAGATTGTGGAGCGCTACTTTTTGTGGATTTTGCAGAGGACACTAAGGTTTCAATGCTGTTGTTGTTGTTGTTGTTGCACTTTTTGGCGAATGTTGCGGGAGTGACAGTCCTTGGCCGGATAAAATTCGGTTCGTTCCGGTATAAAGGCCCGACTGGCTCGGGAACTATTGGATTTTAGTCGCCTCTTACGACAGGCATGCCTTACCGCCGGGTAAATTCTGGCACCCCTAACCCGCAGGGTCTTAGGTTTCAATTGTCGTGCTTGCTTTCATTTGCCCATATTTTCCAAAGAAGCTGGTATTCGAATAGTAAGGCTGACAATTCATCTTCCACATTCGTTGTTTTTCAAGTGTCGAATACTATTCGACCTTCTTCATACTCTGGCAAAGAAATATTTAAAGTTCCATAGTTTCGCACCTTGTTAGAAACGATGTAATTTAGACATGTTTTTAGAGAGCGTTGCCTACATTTAGGCATATTTTATCGAAGACATACACCGTATGCAGTCGGAATAATATGAGTAATGTTTGAACTATTTTTTTCCACTTCATTATCTTAGAAAATTTTTTATTTTTTTTTAATTTTTTTTTTATTTTTTTTTAGTATTAAATCTTAAGAACACTTCTTAAATTTCATGACTTTTGCTCGGAATTGTACAAGTATGTATGTGTTTGTAGGCCATAAGTATGTGAATACCATTTGTTTACACTTGTTAACGTTGATGCCATTTAATGGCTCATAATGCCACCGAAACCTACCACGAATTCCTATTTCGTATACTAAACCTACTTAATGCCTTCGTAAACTTTTCCGTTATTTTCATATAATATAGTATATACACACGCCAAAACGAATTGCAATTTTGTTAATTATCAGCCACAAGTGAGTGAACTACAAACGTGGCTGTACAAATATTTATGTATATTTATTCATATAAATGTATGTATATACCTATTAATTTTTTTCGATACAAAATTTAATGTTGTAGTGTAATTCATTGAAAATATTAATGTTCTAAGCTTTGAGAAATATGTGGATCGTAAGATGTCCTTGACCTCTACTGGTTGTAGACCCTATGGTGGTGATATAAACAAGG